TACCTAACACAAAAATTAACTCAAAACCATAGACTTAAAAGCCATAAAATCTAAAGCTGTGTAACTCTTAGAAGAAAGTATAGGCATAAAGCTTTTTGGATTAGACAAAGCCTTCGTAGATACAACACCAAAAGCAGAAGAGTCAGAGGAAAAATACATAAATTGGGCTTCATCAAAATTAAAAACTTTTGTGCCTTGAACAGACACCATCCAAGAACACACAAAGACACCCTAGTTGGTGTGGTTCAGTTGGTTGGGCGTTATTCAAGGAATTATCCCGGGCACAGAGGCTGCCTGTTTGATAGATGTTACACTCACATCGATGTTTCTTGCTGTCTCCCTCTCCCTTCCTCTCTCTAAAAATCAGTAAACTATAAAAGACAACTACAGAATGGGAGACAATACTTGCACATCATAAATATGAAGGACTTCTATTCAGAATATATAGAGCACTATTACAACTCAGTAATCAAGGATGAATAACCCAGTTAAAATTTTTGGAAAGGTTATCTGATGGTCAACATTATTAATCATTAGAGAAATGCAAATCAAAACCATAAAGAGATATACTTCACACCAACTAGGATGACTGTAATAAAAACACACAGTAATATGCTAGTGAGGTTGTGGAGAAAATTATAACCATTCTACATTGTTGATGGGAATATAATGTGGAGTAGCAGCTTTGGAAAACATTCTGGCAGTTCCTCAAAATGTTAAACATTGATTGTTACTATATGACTCCGTGACTCCATTTTTAGGTGTAACCAGAGTAATGATAACAAACATCTACATAAAAGAACATGAATATTCATAACAGCACTACTTATAATAGCTAAAAAGTGGAAACAATCCAAATGTCCATTAACTGATGAGTAGATTACTATAATATGTGGTATAGTCACACTATGTAATATTATTTGTCAATAAAAAGGAATGAAATATTGATATGTGCTACATGGCTGAACCTTGAGATAATTATGCTAAGTGAAAGAAGCTAGTCATAAAAGACCACATATCGTTATTCCATTTATTTTTTTTATTTTTATTTTTTTTTTATCCTCACCCGAGGACATTTTTTGTTCAGGTACAGTGGGAGGAAGAGAGAGAAAGAGAGAGAGAGAGAAACATCGATGTGAAAGGGACACATCGAGTGGCCGCCACCCGCACGACCGACCAGGGCCGGGGACAAACTGCAACCAAGGTACATGCCCTTAGCGGGAACCGAACCCGGGTCTCTCGGGACCGCAGGCTGATGCTCTAACCGCTGAGCCAAACCGGCCAGGGCTCGTTATTCCATTTACATGAAATGTCCAGGATAGGCAACTACAGGGTGTCCCCCCAAAAATGTATACACAATTTGAATGATTATAAAGTCAGTGTTTATTAGCATACAGTATATTTTCAAAATCTACAGAAATGAATAATTTTTTTTTTTGTCAATGCCTGTTTTCAAACTGATAACTGTTATGGTCCAGGCAGTGCTGATAACATGAATCAGTGGAATCACAAACATCAAGAATCATTTCATTCAGTATTTGTACACATTCTTTTTCAATAGCTGCCCTCAATTCGTTGACTGTTGCCAGTTTTGTACCATAAAGTTTATGTGTCCCCGTAAAAAAGTCTAATGGATACATTTTCTTTGTTCAAAGCTTAGTCTGGCCTCACACATTATTTCAAACCAGTTAAACCTGAAAAGGAGTGAAAATTGAGTTATCAGCTGTTAAAGTGTGTATTATTTTGGGGGGGCACCCTATATATAGAAACAGAGAGCAGATTAGTGGTTCCTTAGTGCTGGAGGGGTTGAGGGATGGGAGGTGGTTGCTAATGTGTACAGGGTTTCTTTTGGGGTTGATAAAAATGTTCTAAAATTGAGTGTGGTGATGGTTACACAACTCTGAATATACTTTAAACCACTGAATTGCACACTTTAAATGTGTGAGCAGTATGGCAGGTGAATTGTATCTCAATAAGGCTGTTTTTTTTAAACCACACATTTTAAAAAATCAGACAAGTATTTATTATATCCAGTACTAATTATGAGTGATACAAAAGAAACATGAAACGCACCCTAAAAACTCCATCAAAAGTCTACTAGACTTAATAAATGAATTTGGCAAAGTAGCAGGATATAAAATTGACGTCAAGAAATCGACGGCATTCTTGTACACCAATGATGAACTCACAGAAAGAGAAACTGAAAGAACAATCTCATTTACCATCGCAGCAAAAAAATTAAGATACCTAGGAATAAACTTAACCAAAGAAGTAAAGTACCTATTTGCAAAAAACTACAGGACATTGAAAAAAGAAACAGAGGAAGATATAAAAAAGTGGAAGCACATACTTTGTTCATGGATTGGAAGAATTAACATCATTAAAATGTCCAAATTACCCAAAGCAATCTATAGATTCAATGCAATCCCCATCAAAATACCAACAACATATTTCATAGAACTAGAGCAAATACTTCAAAAGTTATATGGAACCAAAAAAGACCCTGAATAGCCACACTAATTTTGAAAAAGAAGGACAAAGTAGGTGGGATTACAATACCAGATATCAGGTTATACTACAAAGCCACTGTAATCAAAACAGCTTGGTACTGGCATAAGAACAGGCATATAGACCAGTGGAACAGAATAGAGAACCCAGAAATGGACCCAAGGCAATATGCTCAATTAACATTTTACAAAGGTGGCAAGAGCATACAGTGGAGTAAAGACAGCCTCTTTAATAAATGGTGTTGGGGAAATTGGGCAGCTACATGCAAAAAAATGAAACTAGACCATCAACTTACATCATACACAAAAATAAACTCAAAATGGATAAAAGACTTAAATGTGACCCATGAATCCATGAAAATTCTAGAAGAAAATGTAGGCAACAAAATTTCAGACATCATATGCAGCAGAATTTTCACTGATACATCACCTAAGGCAACAGAAACAAAGGAAAAAAATGAACACATGGGACTACATTGAACTAAAAAGCTTCTGCACAGCAAAAGAAACAACCATCAAAATGGAAAGGCAATCCACTGTATGGGAAAACATCATTGCCAGTGATATATCAGATAAGGGGTTAATTTCCAAATTATATAGAGTACTTATACAACTCAACAAAAGGAAGACAAAGAACCCAATTTAAAAATGGGCAGAGGAGCTGAATAGATACCTCTCCAAACAGGACATACAAATGGCCAAGAGACATGAAGAAATGCTCAACATCACTAATCATCAGAGAGATACAAATTAAAACAACAATGAGGCTATCACCTCACACCTGTCAGAATGGCCGCCATTAACAAATCATCAAACAAGTGTTGGTGAGGGTGTGGAGAAAAGGGGACTCTAGTACACTGCTGGTGGGAATGCAGACTGGTGCAGCCACTATGGAAAACAATATGGTGTTACCTCAAAAAATTAAAAATTCAACTGCCATTTGACCCAGTGATCCAGCTTCTAGGAATATACCCTAAGAAGCCTGAAACACCAATCAGAAAGAATATATGTACTCCTATGTTCATAGCAGCACTATTTACAATAGCTAAGATCTGGAAACAGCCCAAGTGTCCATCAGTAGACGAATGGATAAAAAAGCGGTGGTACATATACACAATGGAGTACTATGCAGCTGTAAGAAAGAAAGATCTCTTATCCTTTGAGACGACATGGAGGGACCTGGAGAGTATTATCCTAAGTGAAACAAGCCAAGCGGAAAAAGACAAATACCACATGATCTCACTTATATATGGAATATAATGAACATAACAGTCTGAGGAATAGGGTAGACCCAGAAACATGGAAGTAAGGTACAGACTGACAACCCTCAGGAGAGGGGGTGGTGGGGGGTGGGAAGAGATAAACCACAGAACTTATATGCATGTATGCATAACCAATGGACATGGACAACAAAGCCGGGGACGGGAAGAGGGAGATGGAGAGGAGGGTGACAATGGGGTAAAAAAGGAGAGACATCTATAACAAAAATAAAATTTTAAAAAGAAAAAAAGAAACATGAAACTCTATTAGTCAGCCAGGTCTGCCAAAACAAAGTGAAATCTTGTTTCATGATACTTGGTTCTTTCATGTAAAAATTAAAGACTTGTTCTCTGTCTTCAAGTTGAAGAGTTAACATGTCAGTAATTAATTAAGTCATTTTAGATTTTTTAAAAAATGTAATCATATGAAATATGATAGATGGACCTGAAACGAGGACAAGAGAAGGACACATTGTAGAAATGAGGACATGTAAGTCTTTAGAAGAATGTATCAGGCAATTAAAATTTGAACTAGCAGGTAAAGGTAAAGAAATAATGATTTATACTATCAGGAAAATGATGTAGAAGAAGGTAAAAGACTCATTTACAGATAATAAATGGGATAGTGGGCTAAATTCCTCACCCCAAAACTGAAAAATGATAAAGAATGATCAAGTGGAAAAAAACAAAAACAAAAAAACATGTGCCCCTGCTGGCATAATAGAGTATGCTCTGAAGGCCTAACCAACCTGTGACCAGATTTAGGTTAAAATTTCCCCCATGTAATATAGATAGTGAATATCAGTTACAATGTCGTTATACTGATAATTATGTTGGGTTTTATAAATTCTGAATTGAGCTAATTAATTATTCAACTTGACACTGCTTTTTCAGTTCTGACTTGAAAAATATTTTGTTAGTTTAAAAAAGGACTAAAAAATCAATCAGGGTGTTACAATGGACATCTTTACTTAATTAAATGTCATAGAATAATTTATTAGACAGTAGTTTATTTTATAAAACCAAAGTGGAAATGAAATGAGCTTTTGTTGCTTATCAAAAGTAAAAAATATAAAGTATTTCATTTTGTAATGTTTTTACTTTTAAGTCATACGACTTTACATGTTTTGTCTTTAACAAAGGCTCAAGATAATTTTTTAGAAAATGATTAATGAGGGAGCAAGGCAAGGGCATAATAAATTTTAACAAACCTAATCATTTTCATGTTATGCAGTTGGCTGGGGAACAGACCAGGGAATTGGCGGATTCGGAGAGGAGCCAGGAATTAAGTCTCAGCTAATGAATCTTATTCGATCTGTAAGAACCGTAATGAGAGGTAAGAAGAAAAATTAGTGGAATACACTTAAGTTTTAATTTTGTGGTTTGATTTGGTTGAAAAACTTCTCGATGTGAATATAATACCATTTTTGTTTTGTTTTTTAAATCTTCACCTGAGGATACCTTTTCATTTATTTTTAGACAAAGTGGGATGAAGGGGGGAAGGGGGGGGACATCAATGTGAGAGAGACTCATTGATTGGTTGCCTCCCGCATGATCCCAACCAAGTCCAGGGACCAAACTGCAATTGAAGTACATGCCCTTGACCAGAATAGAATGCAAGACTCTTCTGTCTAGGGCCAATGTTCTAACCACCGAGCCAAACCGGTCAGGACTCACATACCATCTTTGTAGTGGGAAATTTTTTTCTCTTTAACCTGGCTTTATTGCTCAAAAATTACTGGTTTCTTTCTTAGTTTGCTTCTCATTTCTAAGCCAGTTGATGCAAATGGAGTGCTCAGTGGTATAATCTGTTTGTATGTTATCTCTCAGAGTTGAAAGACAGTGATATTCTTACCTTTTGGAAATTCTGTTGCTTCCAAGTAGTAAAGTCATCTGGAGTCCTATAAGTCTTTCAAGAAAAAATAATAATAGGAATATACCCTAAGAAGCCTGAAACAACAATCAGAAAGAATATATGTACCCCCATGTTTGTAGCAGCACTATTTACAATAGCTAAGATCTGGAAACAGCCCAAATGTCCATCAGTAGATGAATGGATAAAAAAGCAGTGGTACATATACACAATGGAGTACTACGCAGCTGTAAGAAAGAAAGATCTCTTATCCTTTGAGACGACATGGAGGGACCTGGAAAGTATTATCTTAAGCGAAACAAGAGAAAGACAAGTATCATATGATCTCACTTATTTGTGGATTATAATGAACATAACAGTCTAAGGAATGGGGTAGTCCTAGAGATGTGGAAGTGGGGTACAGACTGACAATCCCCAGAAGAAGGGGTGGTGGGGGAGAGATAAACCACAGAACTTATATGCATGTGTGCATGAACAATGGACATGGACAACAAAGCTGGGGACAGGGTGAGGAGGGAGAAGGAGGGGGGCATCAGTGGGGGAAAAAGGAGAAACATCTGTAACAAAAATAAATAAATTAATTAAAATAATAATAATAAAGGTCCCATATTTGCTATGCTCTTAGAAGATATTTTAGAGCAACTCAGTAGAGAAGAATTAAAAACCTTTTATTGAAAACCATTAAAACAAGGGTCTCTTTTTCTGTCTCTGTCTTCCTCTTTTTTTTTTTAGCTGCTTTAATCACAACTTTGAATAGAATAATAAGTTCATTTTTAATTTAGTGATGAAGCTATCGAATCTGTTTTGCACTGTATTTCTAATGTCAAGTGTCACTGGTAGCCATATGGGTCTATTTCTGCCTGGGTCCATTGTGCTTCTGTATTCCCAGAGCTACACTAGCACTATCCACAGATGTTTCTGTATTAATCTATTTGTATCAATGGGACTCCTATCCCACATCCCACAAGCCCTCTTTAAAATAAGTTTTGGATTTTATGATCTAGTGCATGTTTGAATGTTCCTATTATGAGTATTTGCAACATGATTACAATGACATATTGTTAGGTATTTCCATCTTTCCTGGATGCTAGTAACTATGACTTAGTTTTTTTCTGATATTTTCTTTATAGTAACAAACTTTTTTTTTTTTTTGCAGTGCCATTGATAATAGTAAACTCAATTGCAATTGTATTACTTTTACTGTTTGGGTGAAGATCAGTGAGGGAAATGGAGACTCAGAAGAAGAGATTCCAGCAGAAGTTATTACTTTGGTCTTTTTTGGAATATACATATCTTAGCTGGCTGTCCTTGGACTTGACAAAAATGTAAATGTGATGATAAAACTAGAGTCCCTATTTATCTGACTTTTTACAGTGTTGCACTTACAGTTTCATTACAAAAAGATCAGATCATCAGAGGCAGTTAACTGTCCAGGATTGGAATACATTTGATTGTTGACTGTTAATAAAAGTTCATGCAATGATAAAGATTGTTCAAAGAGTGCAGAACTGTCACTTTCGTGTTTTTAGAGCTTTTTCTCTCACTTCTCAGGGATGAATTTTTTTTTAAACTTTTGAAGTTTCTTGTGACTTAGCTATGGATGCTCAGAGAGTGATTATCCTCCTAGATAAAATTAAAGGATTTTAAAATGTAATTGCTACATATAAAGTGAAAAGTAAGTAATTGGGATGATTGTATTTTGAACTCTTTGGTTAAATATTTTGTCTGTATTGTCTTGGCTATGAAAAATTCGAATTTTTAGCAGCTATTGAGGAGCAATACAATCTGCTTTAGAGAGAATTATAATTTTTTAAGTTGGATAGTCACATAGTGATTGTGTTTTTGTTTTAAATTCTTTCCATGCATTTCTTATTTTAGTAATTGGCCTGAATGATGAGACCAGTTCAGTATCTACATATTTTCACTGACAGAAAAATCTGAGTAGAAAAGTCTCTGCCCTTTTTACAATGATGACTTATTTTTTTTGAAATCAACATAAATACTAGCCTGCAAGAGCAATCCTGAACAATCACAATTATAAACTATACTAAGAAGACTTATCTACATAAGAAGATTTTATTCTGAAGCATTTATATGTCCCCAAACTATCCATGTTTTCAATTTTTGGAGCAGTATTTTAAAAAGTGTGATTCTTAATTCTTCTTTCCATCTGTCACTAGGGCATTCATGCTGGATAAATTTTTGTTTTGTTTTGATGTCTTAGACCATCCTATATTTTGCTCATACCATAATACAGTTTTATGCAGAAAAGTTAAAACTATGTAAATGGTTTTTCTGGAAATTGGTTATAATATTTTAAAGGGGATGGAATGGCACCTTTGTTTATGGAACAACATTTGTAAATAAAGTAAAATTTCTAAGTCAAGCACTTGTTTTTGTATCTAATGTATACCTGTCAAGTGTTAATGAAGTTAATCTCATTTTGTGTGTAACACTTGTATATGTTCTTTCCTGTAAAATCCAAGCACAGATTTTTGTATTGTTGTTGTTAATCCTCACCCATGGATATTTTTCCATTGTTTTTTTTTTTAGACACTGTGGAAGGGGGTAGAGGGTGAGAGAGAGAGAGAAAAAAAGAAACAAACATCCATGTGAGAGAGACACATCGACTAGTTGTCTCCCACATGACCCTGACCCCAACCTTGACTGGGGCTGGGAATCGAATGTGCAACCCAGGTACGTGCCCTTGACTGGGAATCAAACACGAGACCCTTTGGTCCACAGGCTGATGCTCTAACCTCTGAGCCAAACCGACCAAGCAGATTTAATGAAAGTAAACGTTCACAATCCATGTTTTTCTTCAGTGAATTGAATTGCTGACATACATCAAGAAGACACACGAGCAATTTTTATTCTGTAACTTAATTTACTTCTAAAACTTTGGAGCAGGTATTGGATGCCTTTGGTCATCTCTGAGTTAGAGATGGATTATCTCTGGGCCTCGGGCTTACAGCTGAACCAAAGAAAAGTACCAGGGATTTACAGTTGATTACTTTGTTCATGTGGATAACATATTTGATACTTAGAGGCAATGTTTTTTTGCCTTACAAAGAGATCATACATAAGTCTGAGTGTAAGCCAATGACCAGGTTCAAAAAGAGCAGTTAATTGAGGACACTCCCATTTCTCCACCAGCTATGAGCCATACAGAATTTTAAAAAGAAAAGAGAGACTTTGTCCTGATGCCATTTTCATGTAAGACTATAATACACCTTCATGCTCATTTAGTGTCAGATACTGCCCAAGTTCACACTCCATTGGGGAGCAGACACAGCAGGGCAGGATCAGTATTCTGGAGCAAAGCAGTTCTGGGGAGAGTGAAGCACTGAATGAATATCAAAGTATTTCATCTTTGGAGGCCACTTAGGCATTTCTAACTTCATTGTGCCTGAGGGGAGGTCTGCAAGCTTTCACAGGTTACCCCTGGTTTCCCTTGAGCAGTTGTGATTTAGTAACCATAGTATCTTATTGTGGTGGGGAGTAATTTGTTTTTAATGCTTTTTTTTTTAGATAGGAAGAGAGAGAAACATCGATTGGCTGCCTCCTGCACGCTCCCTACTGGCAATCAAGCCTATAACCTGGGCATGTGCCCTGACTGGGAATCACACTGGGACCTCTCAGTTCATGGGGTGAAGCTCAATCCACTGAGCCACCACCAACCGGGCAGTAGACAGTAAGTGCCCTACTCGCCTGTCCACATCCTCCCCCTCAGCCATGCTCAGAATTAACAATTTGTGGTCATTCTGTACAAATATCCAAGATGTTTATGGTCCTATATATTCTGACCCTGCATTTCTGTGCCCCTGACCTGTCATGAAGGATCTTGACTCTAGTCTATATTTAAAATGTTTAAAAAATCACCACCTGAGATTATGTTTATCGATTTTAGAGGAAGAGAGAGACATTGATCGGTTGCCTCCTGTACATACCCTGACCAGGGATCGAACCACAACCTAGATGTGTGCCCTAACTGGGAACTGAACCCTCAACCTTTTGGTACAAGATGAAGCACCAACTGGGCCACCCGGCCAATGCTCTAATCTGTAAGTATTAACCAAATTTATAATCTAATCCTTAATCAAGAACAGTGGTTTTCAAACTTTGATAACAGCAGAACCAAGCTTTCAAAGAAGTAATAACAGAACTGTAATGCTACAATGTCCAAAACATAAAAGCAGGTCTGTTTATTTTTAGGTGAAGCATGGATGGAACCCAAAGGCCCATTGTTCAGCCTCTACCTTACTCTTGTCAAACTTCCTAAGGCACTTCTATAAAACCCTAAGTTTTCAAAAAACTTGGTTAAAAAGTATTTTTAAAATCCCTGCTTTTGATAGAGTAGGCAAGGTAATCTGTGCTCTTTAGATATATGTAATTACTTGTGTGGATATGTGTGTGTACCCATAAAATGACTTAAGAATAAGCAATATATTTGAATAAAAAGAGTAGGAGGCAGGATATTTCTAATTTGCCAAGCAGACTTCAGTTTTGGGTTGCTTCATCTGTAAAATTGGTTAATAACTGTTTCAGAAGTTTGCTCCTGGAGATGTATATATGTATATGTTTTTCAGGTCACTAATTTTTAGTACTAAGTGTAACTCAACCAAAGAGATGTTCTCCTGAAGTAAAGTATTTGTGGTGAAATAACTCACTTTTTCATTGACTTAGTTTCAAAGTTATTACCAATAATAACATTCTGATACTATGCAAAATTAAACTCTTCTTTTGGTAAAATTTTTCTTGGCCCAATTGGTCATGAAATATCAGACATTGTAAAAACATTTTATGGGCAGAGGGGGCAACATCCAAGGGCATTAATGATCAAGATAAGTTTTGGAATCCTACTCTTTTTGTTTTAGTTCTGATACTGCTTTCTTTACATTTCCACTCTACCTTTTTCTTTCCGGAATCAGCCCCTCCCTTTTGAGGTCCCATCTCTTCTTTACTGACTTTGCTGTCTGGCAACAAAGCCATGTGAGTCTTTTGATGAGGTGGAAGCCATTAGTCTTTCATTATTCCACATCAGAGTGAATGACCCAATTGCCCAAACTTGGAAACTAATAATTATCTAATGCTTTCCTCTCCCTAACCCTCAATCTAGCACCAATTTCTGACTATTTTACCACTTAAAGATCTCTTGAATTTGTCTTTTTTGCTTTGTTTACACAGTTTAAGCATTTCTCTTATAACACTGCAATACCTATCTGGTCTCAGATTTTGGCACCTCCTACCCACTCTCCACATTGCAGCCAGAGTAAGCTTTTAGAAAAAAATGCATGTCTTAGTAGTACTTAAAATCCTTCAGTGGTGTTGTAATCAGGTAAAAATAAAAACCAAAAAAAACCAGACTCCTAGCTCTGAAGGAGAAACTAGGAACGGGTTTCTTTTCCTTCAACCAAGTGGGCCCTCACATAGAAAACTTAAGACTACTCAACAAATATGAATAAGACAGAAACAATCTCCAGACCTAGTGGGGAGGAAAAGCAAAGTGTCCCAGTCCAGGGAACAGAAAAGGCTATAGCTTGCACAGTGACTGCTGCACTGGGCAGAAGGGATGTTGGATGGTGTTCTAGCAGCATGAGTCTGCGGTCAGATTTGTCAAAGCGTTCCGTGTACGTGAACCAGCATGTCTTATTAGGTCAGAAAGTTTCTCATTTAGCCATTTCCGTAGAGAATGCGTAAGATGACCATCTCTGCAGTCAAGTAGTTTATTTGGATCAAAGGGAGACGAGTAGGGGCTGCCAACGTGTGCGAGGGGAGCAGTGAGAGGTGGTTCTATGTATCCCAAGATGATGCTTGCCTGGAGGTGACAGGAAAGGCCTGTGGTAGCACTCTGATGAGAGGCAGGGTGGGTAACGACAGTGTAAGGTTTGGGGACAGCTGATGCAGGAAACGAGGGACGCTGCCTTAGGTGGTGGTGAATAGCAGTTAAGTGCTAAATCATATTCAAGTAGCAAAGCAGAGAATGACGTCAGAGACTGGGTGTTTCAAGGAAAGTATCTAGGAAGAGGTGGAGAGAGCGAGGGTTGCAGCAAAGAAAAGTTACCCAAAAAACTTGGTTCACCCATGGTGCTGCGGAATGGAAACAGCTACCGAGCAAAGGCAGAGTTTTTGTAGTTCCTCTTGCATCGGGGCCCTGCACGCCGCGCCCTTGAAGAAGTGGGTCTCGAGCACCACTTCTCGTTCTGCTCGGTGGTGGTGAAAGAACAGGACTAGACCTGGTTGGATGTCCGAGACTGGAAGGAAACCCTGGGTGGACGCGGCGGAGACAGACGGGGAGGGGCGGAACTTCCGTCAGGGTCCTGGACCCCGTTTCCGGCGTCAATGCGGAGCTGCCCCGGGCGCTCTGGACGCTCGGCCGGCCGCTGCTGACTGCGGGACGTGCTGCCTTTCCTGCCAGCGGGGCTTCGCCGAGGACGGCGCCGGGCCGGGGTGAGGAGCCGCTCTGGGACGGCAGACCGCACTCTCCTCCGGGGCTGCGTTTCTTTGTGAGGGGGCTCGGGGCCCAGGCCACTCCGCTCCCGGGGCAGGGACCAACCCCCGCGCTTGCTCAGTGAAGGCCGCCACACCCCTCCGGAGGGACACCGCCCCCTAGGCCGCGGTGCTACCACGCCTGCGCGCAGCGGGCGCGAGTGGCTTCCGGGGGCCCGGTGCTCCCCAGTAGGTTACTGGGGGCAGATCGCGACTCCGAGGTGGTGGTGCCTCAGAACGCGCCCCCGGGCGCTGTTTCGAAGCTGACGTCCTTTCGGGTCAGTCTGGCGTTTGCCAGCCCTGGAACTCGGGCTGGGGCCGAGTGCAGTGAGCCTGGGCGATGGCGGCAGTCTGTGCCGAGTGCCGGGAGATTCCTGCTCTAGGAAGCGTAGAGACCCGGATGCTTGGGTTTAGTAAACTCAGAAGCCTTTATTGACCGCTAGGTAGTACAGCGGCACGGGCGCACAGCCCTTTCCTCGCCGAGCTTAGCAGTCGGGACAGTGTAAGTGTGTTAGCGCGCCGGGGTCCTGGCCCAGCCCCGGGAGGAAGGAGGTGGGCTCAGGAATGCAGAGGAATCACTCCTTACCTGAGACCCAGGGGCTGAAGGACTGGGCCTGGGAAAAGGAGGGTGTAGGGGGCAGGGCTGGTAGGACACAGGGGCAAAAATGGTCGCGACAAAAGTCCAGCGATGAGGGAGGGGAGTAGAGGACTCTTGTCCCGGTGCAGTAGGCTTGGGTGTGGGAGTGTAGACAGTTGGAGAGGTATGCTGGGGCTCCGTATACCAGTGCTCATTGTTCAGACGTCATCCTGAGGAAAGTGGGCCACTGGAAGATTTCTGACTGGGAAGGGACTCGATAATAACGTCATCTATTGAGCGCATACAGTGGTTCCAGACTTTTCTATTGGAAGCATGTAGGAAAGAAAAGAAAATTTTTACCCAAATCTCATTTCATCTTAAATATTTCTCCAAGTTTTGAACTGCATGCCACAATATATCCTTATTTTGGTATAAAATCCTCAAGTTTTACTAATGCTTTAGGACACTGCGTCATATTCTGTGATTTTTGTAGTCCTTGACACATCCATCAGGTACCCTTCCCTCTTTTCCCCCTCCCCAGACACATACATAACCCAGCCTTTCTATGTGTGGAACCCGTCACAATACATGTCTTACTCTCTTTTTGTTGTTAATTCTCACCTGAGGATATTTTTCCATTAATATATATATTTTTAGATAGAATGGGAGGGGGGGGGAGAGAAATATGGATGTTATGTGAAGAGAGACATATGACACATTGATTGGTTGCTTCCCATACTCTGGGGCTGGGGATTGAACCTACAACCCAGGTATGTGCCCTTGACCAGGAATCAAGTCAGCAACACTTTGGTCTGCAAGCCCATGCTTTAACCACTGAGAAAAACTGGCCAGAGCCATGTCTTACTTTCTTTAATCGTCCTATCAACCGTTAGAGGCAAGTGTTATCCTTTCTATTTTAGCAGTAAAGAAACTAAGGTTGAGAGCTTAAGAAAATTGCCCAAGCTCCCACAGCTTGTGGGTTGCCATTCACATGCAGGCATGTGCAACTCCTTAGTTCTTGTCCTTCACCTCTGCAATATTGCATTTCGGGATGGGTTTGTGGTTAGAAATAGAAGATTCAAAACACAGAGGACATTTAGAAAGTTGTTGACCTGGGTTAGGTGAAAAGTGCTGATTCCAAAACTAAGTATTAGTAATGATGAGAAGTGAGTGGATTCAAGACTGTAAAGGAGGTAGATTTGACATTTGGCAGTTGTCTGGATGGGAAGAAGGAGTGGGAGAGCCTGCTGGGTACATCTGGATTGATGGTGCTCCCATTCACTCATGATCTCAGGAAAAAGAACAGCTTTGAGGATTGTTAGTTCTTGGATTGAGATGCCCCTGGATATTCAAGGGGAGATGTCTTCTAAAGTATCTTGAAGAATTCCTCTTAATATGAGAATTTGCCTTCACTGTGTACCAGTATCAGTTGTTTATGACTCTTCTAAGATATATCCTATATAACTTGTTCAAACCTGGAAATGGTGGCACGCAGACCCAAGATAAACCAAAAATATGGACTACCTTTGAAGACTTTACAGTTCTTCTGGGAGTGATACTAATATTTTATAATTACATTTTAAAAATATAGCCTGGCTGGTGTGGCTCAGTGGTTGAGCGTCGACCCATGCACCAAGAGGTCGCCAGTTCTATTCCCAATCAGGGTTCATACCTTGGTTGTGGGCCCCATCCCCAGTGGGGGCATGCAGGAGGCGGCCAGTCGATGCTCTCTCTCATTGGTGTTTCTGTCTCTCTCCCCCTCTCCCATCCTCTGTCTCTAAAATCAATAAAAAAAGTTTTAGCCTGGCTGATGTGGCTCAGTGGTTGAATGTCAATCTATGCACCAAGAGATTGCCAGTTCGATTCCTGGTCAGGGCACATGCCCAGTTTGTGGGCCTGATCCCCCGTGGGGGGCATGCAGAAGGCAGCCAGTGTTCTCTCTCATTGGTGTTTCTGTCTTTCTCTCCCTCTCCCTTCCTTTCTAAAAATCAATAAAGAAAAAAAACTTTTTTCACATATGTATTTTATAATTGACCTGTAACATTATACTAGTTTCAGGTGTACAACATAATGATTCAATATTTGTATACACTGGGAAATGATCACCAGTGATAGGTCTAGTTAACATCTGTCCATATACATAGCTAAATTGTTTTTCTTGTAATGAGAACTTTGAAGAACCATTCTTAGCAACTTTCAAATATACAGTGCAGTATTATTAACTATAGTCACCATGCTTATGACCCCCTTCACCCATTTCTCCCCACCCCCCACCCCTACTCTGGCAATCACCAATCTATTCTCTGTGTCTATGAGCTTAGGGTTGGTTTTTTTTTTTTTTTTGGTGGGGCGATTCCACATATAAGAGAGATCATAAGTATGATACAATTCATTTGATCAAATACTTACTTGTAGTTTATATAACAAGTATTACAAAGGTTCAGACAAGAAAAGAGATGGCAGAAGTAGTCAAGGCCTTTAGTGGGGCTAACTGAAGAAGGATATTTTGCCCCAGTTGGGGGCATGCAAGAGGTGGCCAATCAATGTTCTCTCTCATCGATTTTTTTTTTTTTTTAATCCTCACTCGAGGACATTTTTCCATTTTTCAGATAGAGTAGGAGGGAGGGAGGAAGGGAGAGAGAGAGAGAGAAAGAAACATCGATGTGAAAGGGACACATCGAGTGGCTGCCACCCACACAACCCAACCAGGGCCAGGGCCAAACTGCAACCGTGGTACATGCCCTTAGCGGGAACCGAACTCGGGTCTCTCTGGACCACAGGCTGATGCTCTAACTGCTGAGCCAAACCGGCCAGGGCTCATTGATGTTTCTGTCTCTTTCTCCCTCTCCCTTCCTCTCTCTCTAAAATCAATAAAGAAAAAAAAGTACATTTTGAGATCTGAGTGGAGCACCTCACTTTTCTTCTAGGCCTCAGCCAGTCATTCTCAGATACGTAATGCTCCAGAAGAGCATTTTAGAGTTTGAAAAGTATGTTCTATGGAACTGATGAAAGCAGCAATAGAGGCTTTTAAAACGCTTTTGTAACATTAAGCCTACTGGGATGGGTCAACGAGGATTAAAATTATCAATATTTGTTATGACCATTTACTGGCTCTAGTTGGACAGTTGTTTATTTTTAAAAATAGTACACTCCTTTTTTTTTCAGTCTTGTTTACATTTTGTAAAACCTTCAAGTTAACATTTTTTATTGAATATGAAATGTCTCACAAAAGTTGGCTCAGTGGTTGAATGCGATTGCAGGTGTCTCTATATGTAAAAATAGAATGCTTGTTTTCATTTTATATAGTCTTATGGTACACAGTGTATTTTATTTATTTCTTTTTTTCTTTTTCTTTTTTTTTTTGTTCAGATAGAATGGGAGGGAGGGAGAGAGAGAAACATCGACGTGAAAGGGACACATCGGGACACATCGAGTGCCACCCGCACAACCCAACCAGGGCCGGGAACAAACTGCAACCGAGGTACGTGCCCTTAGCGGGAACTGAACCCGGGTCTCTCTGGACCGCAGGCCAATGCTCTAACCGCTGAGCCAAACTGGCCAGGGCCACAGTGTATTTTAAGTTAAAGAATCCTTTACCTGCGACCTGTTACATATTCAAATATAGTCTCTAGGATCAGTCTGTCTTTTGACTAACAGACTTTCCCCTTTCAGGTAATAGTTGATACTGTTGTTGCTGTAATCTTCCATTTCAAAGTCACAATAAAGTTTAGAAATAGAATAAAACATGAGGGCTATTACAAAAAAGAGGATTTTGAATTTAATCTTGATTAACCAGAACTCTTACTATCTTTTTTTGCCTCTGTACTCTGTTTCTTCCCAGCAGGTATATTATAAAAGACAAACAGAACCAGGGATTTATTTAAAAATCAAAATATTTGGGGGATAGAGGTTGTTATACTGAGTATATAATAATTGTCTAGACTAATTTGGTTTTTTATAATTATAGTAAATCTGTGAGAAATGACTGACTAAAATATAACAAGACTTATTTTTATTGTGAAATATGTCATCTACACAAGAGTACGGAAAACAGAGATGTAAGTTTTTAATAATTTTAATAAAATAAAAAACGTTCATATACTCACCATCCAGGTCAAAAAGACCTTTGAGGTCCACTTTGGGCTCTCTCGGTTTGCACTTCCTTCCTATCCCCTGGAGGAATCACTATTCTGACCCTGTAATAATCATTCCTGTGCTTTGCTTTGCAGTTTTACTACCTCTGCGTACATCCCTATGTCTTAACTTTATAATATGTAACCATACTGTATGTAATCTCTTGTGACTGGCTTCTTTCACTTTACAGTAGATTTTTGAGAGTTATCTAGGATGATGTGTGTAACTAATTTATTTCCACTGCCTTTTGTTTTCTGTATATGAATATACCACTATTTACCTATTCTGCTGTTGATGGACTTTTGTATCATTTCCAGTGTCTAGCTATTACAGACAGTGCTGCAATGGGTACTTTTGTTCATGTCTAATGGAACCGTGTGAGAGAATTTCCTGGGTATGATACGTAGGAGTAGAATTGCTGGGTTGTAGAGTATGGTGATTCCAAACTGGTTTCCCAAATGATCGTACTGGTTTATTATCTCACTAGCAGCATCTGGCAGTTCCTGTTGAAAACTTTTGATATTTTCAGACTTAAATTTTGTCAGTGTGTTGGTTGTTGCAGTGATCTCGTTCTGCTTTAAATGTGATTACCAGTGAGTTGTGAACATCTTTGTTTATTTGCTATTCAGATTTGCTGTTTTGTAAAGGATATTTTGAAATTCTGTGCAAATTTTTCTACTGAGTTGTTTGTTTTCCTTAATATTTATAGTTTATATTTCCTGGATTCTAGTCCTTTCTCATATGTGTTGGAAATTTGTTTTTTATTCTGTATATTTTTACTCTTTCTTTTTCCAGAGAGTAAAAATATGGTTTAAAATATGGTTGACTTTGTCTTTTCTTTTATGGTTTGTATTTTTTATATCTTACTTAAGAAAGCCATTTCTATCTTCAAATCATGAAGATATTTTTCTATCTAAAGTTTTACAGTTTTGCCATAAACATATGGTTGTTTAATATAACTAGGGAAAATGTATATGGTATAATTTGGGAGTCAAATTTCATTTTTTCTCCTATGATATTCAGTTGGTCTAACACCATTTTATTGACCACTTCATTCTTTCTTCGCTGATCTGAAACACTCCCTCTGTTAATGCATCAAGTTTCTACACATTGGGGTGTGTGTGTGTCTTTTTTGGGGTTCTCTTTTCTGGTTCATTCTTTCCACTTTCCCTCTCCTCAGTTTAAGGGAGATGGGTCCTCCAGCTCTGCTGTCACATAAGGGCTTGACACATAGTAAGTACTCGGTAAACATTTGACCTATAAATATATAAAAGAATAGGGCAACTTGGCAACATCTTGTAAGGATGCAGATGAGCACACACCCTCAGACGCAGCAAGACCCCAGAGAAATATTCACACCTGTGTTCACCAGGAGATGTGTCCAAGGAGATTCAAAGAGGCACTCTTCATTAAAATAAAATGTGCAAAATTACTTAAATGTTCATCATCAGGAGAACAGATAAAATATATAGTCATACAATGGAATACTATACAGTAGTTAAAGTGAATGAACAGTAGCTACATGTGTTAACATGGATGCACCTTCCAGCATGATGAATGGTAAAGCCAAGGTGCTAAGAGTGAAAAGAATAACATTAATACAAAGCTCTCAACACATTCAAATCAAGAGAGTAGCTTTCTTGGGCAGAGGAAGAAGGGAAATCAGATCAAAGAAGGGTGCACAGAAGGCTCCAACTCCATCTGTGAAGTTTTATTTCTAAAGTTGAATGATGGGTAAAGGAGATAGTTGCATTATCCTTGATACCTTTTTATACGTCTGAAATATTTCATTATAAAAACAAAAATATGGGAAAAATGAATAGGTTTTTTAAAATTAAAAATGAAGTCCAATCCTCTGTAGGTTTTGTACTGTTCATACCCACTCCTTTATTTTTAAACCATACCTTGTACTCCACTGTATATAGGTTATAGCTCATAAATTTTAAAGAGAAATATGCAAAAGGAACTTTAAAAAAAATTAACTTTATTCAGTTTAAAGTTTTGATTTGACTTAAATAATTTTCTTGTGTTTTTTTTTTTTTAATCCTCACCGGAGGATATTTTTCCATTTTATCAAAAGGTAGAGTGGAAGGGAGAAGGAGAGAGAGAGAGAGAAACATCAATGTGAGAAAGACACTTCGATTGGTTGCCTCCCACATGACCCCGACCAGGGCCAGAGACCAAACCACAACTGAGGTACGTGCCCTTGATCGGAATCAAACCCTCTACTCTTTGGTCCTCAGGCTGACGCTCTAACCACTGAGCAAAAATGGCCAGGGCCAAAAGGAACTTTTACATTATAAGGTAAAGACAATATTTCCTGACTTTAAAATTACTATATGACTTGAAATTCTCTCAGTTGCCTGTAAATACTATTAGCTCCTTGGCCATACATGTCATTTCAAGATATAATAGTGGAGATGAATGGTTAGAACTTTTTTATCATATAGAACCAAAGATGAAAAAGATTTTGCCAATGACTTAGTCTTTTCACACACCCATTCTTCAGAGTACGTTATTCTCATATTTAGAAATAAAATGAATGAATAAATTGTTACACCAAAGAGTTATTTTAAGAAACCTGAAAGTAAATAGTAACTTATTTATTTATTTATTTTTTATCCTCACCCGAGGACATTTTTCCATTTTTTGTTCAGGTAGAGTGGGAGGGAGAGAGAGGAACAGAGAGAGAGAGAGAGAAAAACATCGATGTGAAAGGAACACATCGAGTGGCTGCCACCCGCACAACTGACCAGGGCAGGGGACAAACTGCAACCGAGGTACGCGCCCTTAGCGGGAACCGAACCCGGGTCTCAGGACCGCAGGCCGACGCTCTAACCGCTGAGCAAAACCGGCCAGGACAGTAACTTCTTTTTATTAACTCCTCTTTTTCCCTTTCTAGTTTTAATTCAAGATTTTTAAAAAACTGAGCATTATGAAAAAAGTTTTATGAGTCAAATTTTGGATTTTGATTTAAAAAAACACATGGTTTCCCCAAAAGAAACAGCTTAACACTAAGCAGTATCTTTCTGGATATGAATGATATTTTTGAAGACTTCCCAGTTTTTAATTGCCCATTGTTTTCTAAACTGTATTTTTAATTTCATTTGCTCTCTCCTAGGGAATGAAGGATGGCAGCACGCCGTGCACTAAAAGCTGTTTTGGTAGATCTCAATGGCACACTTCACATTGAAGATGCAGCTGTGCCAGGCGCACAGGAAGCTCTTAAAAGGCAAGCTATCCTCCAGGTTTAGCTGACAAATATGTTTGTAAGTGCCATTTTACCAAGGCAGATCATTAGCTAAATGGATGACCTTAAGATGGCATTTCACCAGCTTACCATATATACAGAAACTGCCTTGGGTTTAGCTAGAAGACGTATGCATTGTAATATCTTCCAAACGTTGTTCTCTAAGCCTTTATTAGGTTTGGCCTTTTGCTCTAGTCTTTTTGTTCTTCGTGTATGGGTCTTTTCTAAGACAGTAATGTAAATTTGTGAATGAAAACTCAAGATTCTAAACTGTGTAGTAAATAACATGGGAAAATACACAAATGAAGGAATCACAAAGTGGAAGACACACATACACAAAGGCACAGTGCTGCCCACTCCCCCTTCACCTAAGAGCTAGCCCTGAGTGTACAGCTGCTTAAATAAAATTTAATTGAGGGACTTGAAATTTTAGAATTATTACCATCAACTAAATTTAATGGCTTTGACGGTTAGAAACTGTTTTATATTTCTGATGTATCAACCACAGTACTTAACATGCCTAGATACAAACCAGGATATATAGGAAAAGCTTGCTAAAGTAAACTGAATGTGAATGTTTGCTCCTGAGTGTCCTGAAAAAAATACTTATCAATACAACAGTTCTAATAATTGGTATTAAATACCTTCATACTAAAATAATTTAGAGAAGTTTTTTCAAAGTCAGCAATACTTAGCATGCCGTGTTTATTATTTTCCCACCTTAAAACAGTCATGGTATGCTGTTATCCAGAAAATCTAGTGACTAGTTTCACACTACCAGGTATTAGGGCAAAGGGTTGACACGGACCTTGATTGACACAGATAGCTTGCATTCTCTCAGGGAGCTTACTTTCCATTTGGGTAATCAACAAATATAAAGAGACTTGTATATCTGGTAGGCATCATTTGGAAGCTGTCAGTTTAGTTAGGAGTCATGATGTTCATTATAGGTGGATAGTGTGTTGTTTAAAGCCAATAGAAAATCAGATGCACAGGTGGACTTCCTCTTGACTCCTTGACACTGTCTCTTAGACTTTTTCTGGGAAAGAATGTGGACAGGAGCTTTTACTGCTCTGAAGATGAGCTTTCTACTTTGGATAGAAATAAAAATCTTTTTATTTCTGGTGAACAATGAATGACATCACTAAGTAGCTGTGCAACTATGAGCCTGCCATTCTGGAGGGACAGGAGCCTACAAATTGCACTGGTGGGTTTCCATCCAGAGAAATCGCTATACTGTTACAGCCGATTTTGGTTTCTATGGAAACAAACAGACGAAGGGAAGTTGAGGGACCAGTAAAAAGAAAAGTTTTTTTAAAAATCCTCATTAAAAACGATGTGGTTATTTCAATACTTCTACTTGTTCATTTTTAGGATAATGGTTATGTTGAAATAATCAACTTCTTTTGAGAGAGAAACCACCAAATTTAATGTGTTTTTCAGGAAAGCTACCACACACATATTATAGAGGCAGTCATGATTACAGCGAACTATTTAATCATACAAATAGAGTTAATGTTCTTTGGGTGCATACTTAAAAATCTTTTTCTGTTTTACTTGCTTGCTTGTTTTGAATTGCGATTAGTGCTTTTACTCCTTGTATCCATTTGGGTCAGGCACAAAATAAAAAGCAATGGGGTATTAATATATAATTTTAATTGTAGCTAAGTTAAAATTATTTTTAGATTTTTGGATTAAAATATTATAGGACCAAGAAAATAATTTTCATATTTTAAAGAAAGTTAGACTATCATGAATTCTTTCCTCTGATTTATAGTTGAGGGTCCAAAAGCAGATCACAGAATCAAAACAATCCTATATTTAAGTCTTTCAAGTGGAAAACACTTTTTTTTTAAAAATGGACTGTTTCTTTGAGCTGTCCAGATTGGTTCTGTTTATAAATTTGGTAACACATTAGGGTTTAGTCAGTGTCTAATTGGCTAAGAAGGAAAAACAACATCTTGAGGTGTCCTCTGTTCTCTTAGTATAGGAGGTCAAGTCCTGCACCAGGACATAGATTGGAGTCCTTGTCTCAGCTCTGCTGCTACCCACCTGTATAAAGCTGAGCAAGTCACTTAGCTTTTCTAAGCCTCCATTTTCTCCTCTTTAAGAAGAGAGGTTTACATTAGATAATCTCTAAAATAACTTTTACCTCTCACATTCTGTGAATACAGTAGTTACTGAGCTTTGTTTTGTTTTGTTTTGTTTTTTCAGTTCTTTGCTAAATCCCTGCAGTAAAATTCGGTTAAAGTACAGAGGTTCGCAAAAAGGTAGACACAGCTTTTAACAATTCCACTTAATAGCTTTTGGCATTAGAGCAGCCCAGAGGGTGTGGATAATATATAAGCAGTTCTGGGTAGATAAGAAAAAAGATTATTGGTAATAAAAACATTTATTTGGTGACTTAGCCTTCATTTTCTGACCTTTGGCAAGTGCTACCAAATTAGGGATTTTATGGGGCTAGGATGTAAAAGCTTCCTGTTGACATCTGAATTTTACTTTTCCAGGTTACGTGGTACTTCTGTAATGGTTAGGTTTGTGACCAATACAACCAAAGAGAGCAAGAAAGACCTGCTGGAAAGGTTGAAAAAACTGGAGTTTGATATCTCTGAAGATGAGATATTTACTTCTCTGACTGCAGCCAGAAATTTAGTAGAGCATAAACAAGTCCGGCCCATGCTGCTGGTTGATGATCGGGCACTACCTGATTTCAAAGGTAGGGGAAATTTGGAAAGATTTAAAAATTGGTTCTTTATATCTTCTTATAAACCATTCTTAAAACTGAATGTTTAGAAGTATTTATTCAGATTTCCTCCTATTATTATTGAGGTCAACAGATCGTTTGAATCTAAATTGGTGTTTCTCAAACCTGTTCTGACCGCACTCCACAGTAAGTGAAACACATTACATAGTAAACTAGTACACATATGTGTGTGTTTATATTATGCTAAACAATACTTACTCTTGTATAAGAAGTACTCTGCTATCTATTTGGTTTACTTAATTTTTTATTTGGGTTTGAAGCTGCTTAGAGCCCTCCAAATTAGTTTAATTTACTAGTGGATCATGACCCACAGTTTGAAAAAGCACATGTCAAAATTGTTTTGAGTATTATAATTCTTGATCCAAGAGCTACTGTATTAATTTGATTAAATGAGATAATCCAATATTTTCTTATTTAAAATAATTGTCATTCTGTATAGTGTGAAATTTTTGTAATGACCATGAAATATTTTCTTTTTTTTTTATCCTCACCCGAGGACATTTTTCCATTTTTTGTTCAGATAGAGCGGGAGGGAGAGAGAGGAAGAGAGAGAGAGAGAAACATCGATGTGAAAGGGACACATCGAGTGGCTGCCACCCTCACGACCAACCAGGGCCGGGGACAAACTGCAACCGAGGTACGTGCCCTTAGCGGGAACTGAACCCGGGTCTCTCTGTACCACAGGCCGACGCTCCAACCGCTGAGCCAAACCGGCCAGGGCGACCATGAAATATTTTCAATCAAGAGAAAATAAAACTGTTTTCTCTTTGGAAAAATTAACAAACACTGGAAAAATATCCTAGTTTTATGAAATTTGCCACATTGCTTTGTTTTATAGATGATACTCTATAAATGACACAATATAGAAAATTGGGTGTAGAACCATGTGATGGATGTGCAAATAATGATTAGGGGAGGTCAGCATCAATATACAGTTGGGCAGAACCCCAAAATTTGTACTATTAAAAAATACAGCAGTGTATCAATCAAAATTATTATTTGTAAGAAACAGAAAACAATTTTGGCTTCATTAAACAAAAAATAAGTTTGTTAAAAGAATCTGAGTGCTGACAGGACTATAAAATGGTGTAACTCCTATGGAAAGGAATTTGACAATAGTTAGCAAAATTGCATATGATGTAGTACTGTCGCTTGTAAGAATCTGTCTCCAAGATATAGTTATAAAAATACACGATGTGATAGAACAAGGTTATTTATTATAGCCTTATTGGTAATAATAAAAGACTGGAAACAACTCAAATGATCATTGCAAGAGATTGATTAATTAAGTTGTGATATATCCACAAAATGGAATGCTTTGCAGCTGGACAATAAAGAGTGACAAAGAATTTTATCCCCTGATAAAGAGTGATTTTCATGAAAGGGCAATGGATATGCATATCTATATGTATTATATTTGTAAAAGGAAGCCTCAGAAGGATAAATAAAAAACTAGTACACATGGCTATCTAAAGGGGAAGGAAAGGGTTAGAAAAGGAAATTGCTCTGAAAGTACCTTGTTAAATAGTTTTGACTTTGGAACCAGGTAAACATTTTACATATTTAAAAGACAATTAAAAAGTAAAAACAAACCAGCCCCTGAAAACTAAAAACAATTGGAAACAAAGGAACATAACTCTATATCAAGTTGATGACATAACTACTCAATGAATTATTTCAAATGACTGTAAAATACAGTATTTGACCATTCATAGTAGGAAAAATTCTAAGGATAAAAGAACCACAAAGAAATCTTAAACTTCATTTAGTAGTTTAATGTTATTAGTAACGTTGGTATTACTATTTTTAAAGTATTCATAAAATTATACATATAGGATAAAAAAAATAGTAATTATGTTAGTATTGTTAAGATCCAAGATTTTAAGTGTAAGTGAAATCACATACAAATATAAAAATCAAATTAGTTAATTAAAAGCTGTGTATTATTAATTTTTCATTGAAACCGTCATCAACTCCTTTGTTCTTTTGAAAAATGCATATTATCTAGGTCTAGATAATAAATATTATAATACATATTATCTGGAAAGGCCTAGAAACAATGGCAATCCAGTGCTCTGACTGTGGAGTCCATTACCATTTCCCACTTTAGTTCCTTGGAGTAATGCTAACTCCAGATCTGGGCAGGCATATAAGATGAGTCTAGGATAACTCATTCTGTTAGCAAGGAAGCTATTGAAGACTAATTAGGTCATGTCTAAAGGACTCTGGGGCCAGTTTGAAGAGATAATTTGAGCATCAAAAAGAATAGCCCTGGCCAGTTTGGTTCAGCAGTTAGAGCATCAGCCTGCGGTCCGGAGAGACCCGGGTTCGGTTTCTGCTAAGGGCACATACCTCGGTTGCAGTTTGTCCCTGGCCCTGGTTGGTTGTGTGGGTGGCAGCCACTCGATGTGTCCCCTTCACATCGATGTTTCTCTCTCTCTCTCTCTCCCTCCCACTCTATCTGAACAAAATATCAAAAAAAAAAAAAAAAAAAGAATAATAATTGCAGTGGATTGCAACACAAACATATATATATAAATAAAACACCATGAGTTCGAATGATACTCAGTCCCTCAAAACTCATTAGTCACTATTGGAGGTTGTGAGGGTAGTAAATCATTATTTTGATATGGATAAATTAAGGGAATGAAACAAGCATTTATCCTGCCTTTCCTGTTTGAACTACATTTTAGAGTAACCAAATACATGATAACGGTACGTTCTCTATAGAATTCCAGCTAGTAAATGCAAAAGGAATGGCAGAATTAGAAGATCACCATTGGGAAGCTCTAACAAAATAGGCAACAACATCAATAGATTTTAAACACATTAGGTAAAGCACTGATGAGGAACTGCAAAATGGAGGAATCAGGCTAACACCACTTAAACCTATTGATCAATCTTAATATCACTAGAAGTAGAGCAAGCAGAATTTTTGTGCTTCATGATGTGACATAATAGGAGTTCAATAGCATTGCCTATGAAATAATCTTGCCTAGAATTGAATGGGAATCTATGAAGCCTCTAGAGCTAATTAACAGTTTATAGGAAAAATACAGTAAAGGAACAAATTAAATAATATTACAAAGCAATCAGCCAAATACAGAATGTGAGACATTTTCCAGGGTTAATGATCTAGTTGCTCTGATAAGTGAGAAGAGTGCAGAAGATATAAGAGATAACAATCAAATGTACTGTATATACCTTGTTGGATGCCAGTTACATATCAGATGTAAAAAGACATTTTTAGATATTTGAGGAAATTCAGATGTCGACTAGGTATTGAGTGATATTAACAAGTTATTAACTGTATTGGTATAATAATGTTAAGGCGGCTTTTTAAAAAGTCTGTCAGTTAAAGATACATACTGAAGTATGAAGGGGTGAAATGAATGATATATCTGAGATTTGCTTTTGAAAGACTTCAAAAACATGTAGAGAATGATAGATAAGACTGGTTAAAAAATGTAGAGAATGATAGATAAGATTGCAAGGCTTATTATACTAGTCTTTCTACTTTTATGTATTTCTAAAAATGTTGATAACAAAGAAAAAAAGGCTGTTTGGGTAACCCACAGAACTGCCAAGGGGAGTTGAAGTGTTAGTCTTAGGGGCTGTGCAGACAGGTACACTGTGTATATCATATCACAGAATTGATCAGGTGCCATTGGTTGTCCCTGCTAATTATTGAACTCTGTAGCTTGCCCAGTTGACCTCAGTGAAATTGGAGATAGGAGGTTCCTCCTAGCACTGCTTCTTAAGAATATGAAGCAGCAACAGTCACCTCTTCCAGAGGAGGTTTTTTCCTGTTTTTTTTGTTTGTTTTACTAGCTCCCAGTTAAAAGCCTTGGGTAGGTGTTTCTGATTGGCAGAGCCTCTGTCTAATGCCAGTATCCAGAGCTGCAAAAGAGGCTGGAAAGTATGTATCTGGTGTTTTTGCCTCTGTAATGGTGGGGTAAGCTCTGCCTCTCACCAAGTGTTATGGGCTAGTGAATTCCCTAATTACGAGAGTGGTGTTCAGAAACTGGGCAATCAAATACAGTGACAAATGCACTCTGTAATCAGTGTTTTTTTGTGTTTCTGGGTTAGCTGAAGTACTACAAAACAAAATTTTAATTGGGTTTTTCTCTTTTGATTTTATCTGAAGAAAGTTAAAATTCTAGGTGTAAGACAGGGATGCCCACTTTCTCAACATGGTTCTGGAAGTCTTAGCCACAGAAACTAGACATGAAGAAAAAATAAAAGAGATCCAAATGGGAAAGAGGAAGTAAAACTGTTATTTGCAGATGACATGACATTGTACATAGAAAACCCTAAAGACTCCATCAAAAATCTACTAGAGCTAGTAAATGAATTTGGCAAAGTAGCAAGATACAAACTTAAATATCAAGAAATCATCGGCATTCTTATACACCAATAATGAACTCACAGAAAGAGAAACTAAAAAACAATTCCATTTACCATTGCAGCAAAATAACTAAGATACCTAGAAATAAACTTAACCAAAGAAGTAAAGCAGCTGTTCTCAGAAAACTACAGGACATTGAAAAAAGAAATAGAAGAAGATATAAAAAAGTGGAAGCATATACCTTGTTCATGGATTGGAAGAATTAACATCATTAAAATGTCCATACTACCTAAAGCAATCTATGGATTCAATGCAATCCCTGTTAAAATATCAACGACATATTTCACAGAACTAGAACAAATACTTCAGAAGTTTATATGGCATCAAAAAAGATCCTGAATAGCCACTGCAATCTTGAAAAAGAAGAACAAAGTAGGAGGGATCACAATACCAGATATCAGGTTATACTACAAAGCCATTGTAATCAAAACAGCCTGGTACTAGCACAAAAACAGGCATGTAGATCAATGGAACAGAACAGAGAACCCGGAAATTGACCCAAGACATTATGCTCAATCAATATTTGACAAAGGTGGCAAGAGCATACAATGGAGTAAAGACAGCCTCTTTAATAAATGGTGTTGGGAAAAATGAACAGCTACATGCAAAAAAAAAAAAATGAAGCTAGACCACCAACTTACACCATACACAAGAATAAACTCAAAATGGATAAAAGACTTAAACATGACTCATGAATCCATAAAAATCCTAGAAGAAAATGTAGGCAACAAAATTTCAGACATTACACACAGCAGAATTTTCACTGATACACACCTAAGGTAAGAGAAACAAAGGAAAAAAGTAATACTTGGGACTACATCAAACTAAAAAGCTTCTGCAGAGCAAAAGAAACAAGCATCAAAATGGAAAGGGAACTCACTATATGGGAGAGCATAATTGCCAATGATACGTCAGATAAGTGGTTAATTTTCAAAATATATAGAGTGCTCATACAACTCAACAAAAGGAAGACAAATAATCCGATTAAAATCAGCAGAGGATCTAAATAGACACCTCTCCAAATAGGAAGTACAAATGGCCAAGAGACATATGAAGAAATGTTCAACGTCACTAACCATCAGAGAGATGCAAATTAAAATGACTATGAAGTATCACCTCACACCTAACAGAATGGCTGCCATCCACAAATTATCACACAAGTTCCGGCGAGGGTGTGGAGAAAAGCGGACTCTAGTACACTGCTTGTGGGAATGCATAGTGGTGCATCCATTATGGAAAAAACAGTATGGTGTTTCCTCAAAAAATTAAAAATGGAATTGCTGTTTGATGCAGTGATTCCACTTCTAGGAATATATTCTAAGAAGCCTGAAATACCAATCAGAAGGAATACATGTACCTCTATGTTCATAGCAGCACTATTTACTATTGCTAAGATCTGGAAACAGCCTAGGTGTCCATCAGTAGATGAGTGGATAAAAAAGCGATGGTACATATACACAATAGAATACTATGCAGCTGTAAGAAAGAAAGATCTCTTATCCTTTGAGATAACATGGAGGGAATTGGGGAGTATTATGCTAAGTGAAATAAGCCAATCGGAGAAAGACAAATACCATATAATCTCACTTATTTGTGGAATATAATGGACAAAATAAGCTGATGAACAAAATAGACCCAGAGACATACAAGTAGGGTACAGATTGACAAACCTCAGAAGAGGGGGGTAGGGGGGAGGGAAAAGATAAACCAAAGAACTTATATGCATGTATACGTAATCAATGGACATAGACAACAATGCTGGGGGTGGGGGGGTGAGATCAGGAGGGGAAAAAGGAGAAACATCTGTAACAAAAATAAATTAATAATAAAAAAAAAAATTCTAGTATCAGCAGTGAGCTGTAGTTGGGATACATAAGCAGAGTACCTGGTAGAAGAAATCTTTGTCATGCAGTGCAGCACAATACTTGAAACATCCTTCTATACATGAAAATACCCAAAGTATATGGGTTTTTGAAAAGCAAGAAATATCTTTGCTGTTATTGAATATCTTTGCTAGTGGTTGACAGAGTTAATAAAAGGAACACAAAGAACTGTAACTCTAACTGTAGTCAATAATGTTTTCTTCCTTCACAAACTTTAAGCAATTACTTGATACTCATGGCTGCTGGTAAAGAGGAAATTGGAAAGCTTGGATATCTACTCTTTCTCTTTCTTTCCATTACATTTTGGTAGAATTGATATGAAAAATGCTTAAAGGCAGGCAATAAGAGGGGCAAATAGGAATTGGCATATGAATAATCCATAGACCCTTTAGTCAGATTTTTAATAACTGTGAAGGATAATGTATTTATTTGGTTGTTATGTCTGAAGTCCTGTTTTCAGGTACCAAGGCCTTAAAATATGCTTAAATTATAGAGTAATATTTGTTACACTAAAAGTAGATGAGACATTATGTAGAAAGTAGTAGGATCTACAGTGCATTCCATATTTATCATGAATGTGTTAACCTCAACTGTGTCAATTAGAGTGTCTAATTTCCTTTGCTTGTTAGATTTTCATTCCCTCATCAGTTGCTATTGATCTGATAGCTCATAGAGAATTCATGGCTGTTCTTGTTGATTATAATCAGTAAAGATTTTTGAAGTTAGAAATTATTTGTTTGAGAACATCGGGTTACAAGTTTCAATTCAAATATTCTAGTTACTGTGTAGCTGTAAAACCATGCAAAGAAATATGCAAAAATATAAGGAGACCCTTTTCTTTAAGTATCTCTTATACTATTTCCAAAGTACACAGGACAAGATTATCTCTTAAACCTTAGGTTATTACCACAGCAAAAATTTGTACTTGATTGACTAAAACTACTTTATTATAAAAGGTAAAATTACTTTTCATTGCATTTTTCAATAATCATATATTTTTTCATTTCCAGGGATACAAACAAGTGATCCTAATGCTGTGGTCATAGGATTGGCACCAGAACATTTTCATTATCAAATTCTGAACCAAGCATTCCGGTAAGTCTCTAACTGTTTATTTTTCACCTGATCATGTACTCCCTCTTTCCCTTCTTGAGTCTTTGTCATGTAAGGTTATACATGTTTTATTTTCTAGCCACCTATATTATATATGAGGACACACATCTTCAAAATCACTTCAAAATCAACTGAAAAATAATGTTTATTACTATCCTGCTTGGTTTTTAAAAATGATCAGTATGCAAAAAAGTGATGATCATTGGGGCTTTTATGATTTACAGAATAAATATTCTGAAGCAGAAATTCATAATAAAATTGCAACTCTTAAAGCTAGTAGTTCTATCTTTTATCATCACTCAGGTGATTCTCCACTGACTGTGCTAGTTTCAGATGGAAAACAGCATCCAGGCTAATGCACCATCATCACTAATACTAGTGATAATCATGTCCTGAACTGGGATAGTAGGAATGAAGAAAACCAGATTCAGGTAGCATCAACATGACTTGAAGAATGATTACGTTTAGGAGGGGGAGGGACAGTGAGTTAAGGAGGACATCAGATTTCTAACCTGGGCACATATGATGGAGAACACTCCCTGCGTGGGGTTCAGGAGGTGATAAGTTTAGGTTGGGGTTGCTTAGCACATGGGACATCTAAGTGGAGATGTTCCAGTGGTTGTTGGTTGAAATTGGGGGAAACACAACTAACATGTGTAATGTTATAAATCTTCAGTTGTGTATGCATTTTACTTTTATGAACTTTTTGCTGCTGCTTCCAAAAGGAAGACTGCATACTGGTTCTCATACTTCCTAAGATAAACTGGATCAGAATTTACCTACAAATCTGCTCTAGAGTGAGATTGTGGCTTTTTCCCTTTGATTTTTCTCATTTTTCATCTTGCTTTTTACTTCTTGTCAAACCATTAAGCAGTATAATTTGTCTTTGAATTTATGACAAGTAGCTCAAAATATTATATAGGGATACATTGAACTAGATTTTAAAGTTTTTTTTAATGGCTTAATAAATTTTTGGTATTTAACTTCAAGAATGCTATAAAACATCATTTTCTTACCAGTACAAAGATCGACAAGAATCATTCTGACTTACACTTGTGGAATTCATTTCTTGATGTATATGTTGTAGAATCACTACAGGGCTAAAACATCTGGGCACATAGTATTGGCTATCCTTGTGTACAATCTGTGTGGCCAGAAATAGCACCTTTTTTTTTCCTGTGTGCAATTTAGAGCCTCAGTTAATGGAAACTATGGCTACTTAATGCACTTAGTCATTGTGATAATCAAGCCTTTGTTTACAAGGAACATACTCACTTTATATCATTGCTCAGTATCTGTTTACTATAGTTATTTCCTGGAGGTTCACTGCTACGCCACATTGCATGAAGATATACTTGGGTGCATATGGTGTTAAATTTTCTTTTGCTTCACCTACTTCAATTATTTTACTGTGGCTTCTTGGGGTTGTGATGGGGAGAATATTATATCACCTGCTTCTTAAGTAAGGTTTACAACTATACCAAAATCAGTTTTCATTTGAAATAGAGAACCTACTGTAATTTCTTACTTCGGAATGTACTCCTACTACCTTTTACTCATTTCTTTAACCACAGAATTCAAGGAGAAGGTATTGATTGATTTTAGCTGGTAATTTGGGAAGGACATATTTAATAGGTCTCTGCCTTAGATGAATGCTAGACTCAAGGTAATAAAAATGTATGTTGACATAATACTGACTTTATAATTGCTCGGATGCTGTCTAATTAGTATACTTCCCTAACCATATTGATTTTTTTTAAACACTACACTTTGAAGCATTACAGTGCACTTATAGGTCAACTCTAATTTCACAAATGCACTTAACAGCTGGGTGGAGAGTTAACAGAAGGATTTTAGGTCTTGCCCTTCTTTGCATATTGATGTCTCCACAGAGACTGTGCCTTCCAACCAATGACTGCAGCTGTTTGGATTATAAGTGGCAAATACAGACATCTCAAATGAACCACCGACTAGTTAAATTACTATTCAGGTTGATAATGAGAATAAACATTGGATTTTAAACCCCACTGCATAGCTGCCTTGAATACCAGCTTCAGGGGCACATTGCCCTCAGGTGGATGCATTAGCCTTCCACATCACGCTGCCTCTTACTTACTGTTTCAGATGGGTGGGCCCTCCAAAATGCATAGTACAATCTGGCTACAAATATGTCTTACATATCTGAATGAAATCGGAACTCTGCATTCTAGAGAATTGATTTTAGAGAAGACTAGGATAGACATGATTTAGGGGTTTGGATTCTAGAAAACATTTAAATCCTGAGAGTCATTGATGTCTTTTTTTCTTTTACCTACTACTAAAAGATACAAAGAATAATATAACAAACACCCACATGCCTATCAGGCAGTTTAAGAAATACAAATTATCAGCATCTTTGCTATCTTCTGCATATCCCTCCCCAATTTTATCACCCAAGACCCAAAAGTAATCAGGATTCTGAATTGTGTTTATTATCATTTGCATTCTTTTTTTTTTTTCACATTAATTTTTTAAATACTGTAACACATATGGAGGTATTCCTGGATAGAATATAGTATTTTTTTTGCATGTTTTATACTTTATCAATTTGCTTTTTTCCTTGGTAAAACTGTATGATTCATTAATAGGAATATCCATAGTTCCGGTTTATTTATTTTCACACCTTTAGTACTAGCTTGTAGCAAGGTGTTTTTCATCTTCTGACCTGAGTTAGAAACCCAAGGCATAAGCATTTTAGTAATGGACCAATTATAATTAAATTTAATGATCTCTATTAGGAGGAAGGCTACCTGGGCAAGCAGATCGCTTAATTAATAATCTAATTTGAATTTAGCATTAACAAGATAAAAAAATATCTCAGCACAAAATTAATATGTCTTCATTGTGGAAAATTATAAATGATCAAAAAAGAATAAACAGAATCATCTGTAATCCTTTTACCTAGCTAGTTTCCATGCACATACATAATTAGAATGAAAATGTATATATACTGTGTGGTAATTGGCTTTTTAAAAACCCAACAGTATATTGTGCATGTTTTTCTATATTCTTAAATATTCTAAAACATGTTTGATTCCCACAACATATTCCACTTTAAGAAGTGCAGTAAGATGTATAGCCATGTTGAAAAAACAACCTTCTGAGAACATTGGTTAAGCAATATTTATGTTTGTTTCTTAAGCTTTTTTCAGAAGTACAGTTGTTGGATCAAAGGAATTTTGAGAAAAAACTATGTGAAATTGCTTAACCTAGGAAAAGTTCAAGTTTTTTAAATAAATTAAAAGCAACTGCTCTCCAGTTTCTAGAGAAGCTTATTAAAATGTCATACTCTATCTGAAAATAAGTAACATCACAACTTTCACATTTAAATGCAAGAGGTGGAAAGCTGCTTAAGAGTAATGTTTTGAAGCTTCAAAATGACTTAATATTGAAATTAATTGTTTCTTTTCTATAATTACAAAAGACAAGAATCCTTGAAAAGTCTTAGATATGTGCAGAAATTAGTTTTTTGTTTTTCAGGAGGAGATTTTTATCATTGTAAATGGTTGCTGTTGAATGTTGGTTTGCTTTTCCCATCTCCTCAAGAAGAAGTTAAAAGTTAATGATTCTAGTATGTTCAATTCCTTAGAAAGGGAAGAAGAGACAGTGAGAAAAAAGATCAACAACAATGGCCTTAGTTATTACTGTGTTTGTACAGTAACTCCTGAATCTTTTCTAAGTATTTAGAGCCTGGGCCTGAGGAATTCCAGAACAGTGTGACAGCAGGACTCAAATTAGAAATATTTCTGTGGGCTTTATCCATTTTGAAAGGGCTGACTGCTGCTGGGCAGTTTTTTAAGTCAAATCCAGACTATGAGAAATTTTTTCTTTTTTTTTATCCTCAACCGAGGACATTTTTCCATTTTTTGTTCAGATAGAGTGGGAGGGAGAGAGGGAAAGAGAGAGAGAGAGAGAGAAACATCGATGTGAAAGGGACACATCGAGTGGCTGCCACCTGCACGACCAACCAGGGCTGGGGACAAACTGCAACCAAGGTGCGCACCCTTAGCGGTAACTGAACTCGGGTCTCACTCGGGTCTCTCTGGACCGCAGGCTGACGCTCTGACCGCTGAGCCAAACCGGCCAGGGCGAGAAATTTTTTAAGACTTAAGAACTTGAATTGTTTAAAACATTCTACTAGTATATGCAAGAGAGCCGCATTATATGCCTATTTGAAATTCACAGAATGCCCAATTGAGTTTAATATCAGTTACTAACTGCCCTTACTTTTTTTTCAAATATGTTTTTATTGACTTTTTAGAGAGAGAGAGGAAGGGAGAGAGAGATAGAAACATCAATGTGAGAAGGGTACAGACTGACAACTCTCAGAAGAGGGGGTGGTGGGTGGAGGGAAGAGATAAACCACAGAACTAATATGCATGTACGCATAACTGAGGGACACGGACAACAAAGCCGGGTATGGGTTGGGGGGGATGAGGAGGAGGGTATCTGGGGAATAAAAGAAGAAACATCTGTAACAAAAATAAATTAATAAAAAATTTTAAAAGAAGCCCTGGCTGGTTTGGCTCAGCGGTTAGAGCGTCGGCCTGCGGTCCTGAGAGACCCGGGTTCGGTTCCCGCTAAGGGCGCGTGCCTCGGTTGCAGTTTGTCCCCGGCCCTGGTCGGTTGTGCGGGTGGCAGCCACTCGGTGTGTCCCTTTCACATCGATGTCTCTCTCTCTCTCTCTGTTCCTCTCTCTCCCTCCCACTCTACCTGAACAAAAAATGGAAAAATGTCCTCGGGTGAGGATAAAAAAAAAAAAAAAAAAATTTAAAAGAAAAGAATCATCAATGTGAGAGAGAAACATCGATTGGCTGCCTCCTGCATGCTCCCTACTGGAGATCGAGCCCAAAACCCAGACATGTACCCTGACTGGGAATCGAACCAAGACCTCTCAGTCCATGGGATGACGCTCAATCCACTGAGCCACACTGGCTGGGGCTGCTCTTATTTTTTAATTTGGGGAGATTGTTATGGGACAAAGGCAACTTTTGCTACTCTAAATAAAAGTTGCAGGTGAAAAAGCCACATAAATATATTGTTACTTATTTTTTTTAATTAATGTATAACATACACAGTAAAGTCCAGAAATTTACAGTAAAGTCCAGTAAATTCAATAAAATTTTACACATAGATACACCTTGTAACCCTGCTGATCAAGATCTAGAACATTTCCAGCATTCTTCCTTAAGGTAACTACTACTTTAACTCCTGTCAGTATTACCAGTTCTTGGTCTTCAGATGAATGAAATCATACAATTGTAGCATTTTTGTCTTTTTTTGAGATTTATCCAAGTGTTGCAGGTAGCAGTACTTTCTTGTTGTTTTGTTTCTTGTTTATTTTTATTGGTGTGTAATAGTCTATTGTATGACTATTCCACAATTTATTTATTTATTGTTAATTTGGATTGTTTCCAGTTTGAGCTGTTATGAATAAAGCTGCTATAAATGTTCTTCAACATGTCTTTGGGGGGACATATGTGCTCATTTCTCTTGGGTCTGTAGAGTAGTGAAATTACTGGGTAATAAGCTAAGTATTTGTTTAGCTTTAGTAAATATTGCTAAACAATTTTCTGAAGTCATTATAGCAAGTCATATATTCCCACTGGCTATGAATGTGAGTTTCAGTTGCTCCAAATTCCCACCAGTCTCTGACCAGTCTATGTAATTGTAGCTATTCTGTTGGGTGTGTCTAGTGGTATCTTACTGAGTTTTAGTTTGTGTTTCCCTGATGAGTAATTTTCTTTAAACCTTTTCATGTACTTATTGACCATTGGATAACTTCTTTGCAGCGTACCCATTCAGATCGTTTACCTTTTCTGATTGTGTGGTATTTTTCTTACTGATTTGTATATATAACAGAGCTTGTTATATATATAAGTTTTTGGTTGGATATTGCACTGCAGTTATTTTATCTCTGCCTTTTGCTCTCTTAATGGTATGAGAACATGAAGTTCTTAATTTTGCTGGAGTCCAATTTGTTAAAATGTCAGTAGTGCTGAGGTTGAAAAACCCAGATAGTTAATTCCTTCATTGATAAGAAACCTAGGCCCACAAATGTGAAGTGATTTGCTGTTCCCTATTTTAAGAAGTATAGATACTACATTCTGGACCAGAAAATACTGCAAGGGGGAGGGGTAAAAGGGTGCTAGGGAGAGGCCATGCTGTATATTGTGGGATGTTTAGCAGCATCCCTGGCTTCCACCCACTAGATGCCAGTAGCCCCCCTCTTCCCTCAGTTGTGATAACTAAAAAAGTCTTCAGACATTGCCAAATGTCCCCTGGGGAGCAAAACTATCCCTGGTTGAGAACCACTGAACTGGATGTCTGCCTACGATGTTTATACTGTAGTCCTGTTCCCTCACTAGGGTTTTTCAGTTTTTTCCGTTGCCTGCACAGAATTCACAGCCAGAGATTTTTTTTTAATTTTATTTTTTATCCTCACCCAAGGATATTTTTGCATTTATCTTCAGATAGAGCGGGAGAGAGAAAGGGGGGGGCGGGGAGAAACATCGATGTGAGAGGGACACATCAACTGGTTGCCACCCACATGACCCCAACCAGGGCCGGGGACGAACCGCAACCAAGGTACATGCCCTTAGCAGAAACCGAACCCAGGACTCTCTGGTCTGCAGGCTGATGTTCTAACCACTGAGCAAAACTGGCCAGGGCCACAGCCAGAGATTTTTGCATCAGGCCTTTGTGCCCTTCTTTCCTTGCTTCTTGCACCTCAATGGACTTATAGTTAGATAAAGAAAGAATATTTCCCTCTGATACATTATTTCTGGTGTCAAAAACAACCAACCCTTTGTCGCCCTGTCTAGTATGTGTAAAAACACTCAAAGTGTTGGAGTGTCTATTTTTGATATTTAAAAAATGTTTAACTATAAAATATCTTTTAATCTGTGTCCTAGAAAATATTTACCTTTCAGTTTCTCCTGAATATGCTTAGTTCTTCAAAGACTCAGTAAAGCTTAGGCTGTGCAGAGATTGATAGAAGCAGGAACACTTCCCTGAGAGATGCCTGTCTTTTCCAGCCTCGTGTCATGCCAGCTCCCATTTAGAGGCATGTAGAGGAGCCCACAGTGTCAGCCCTTTCAGGGAAGGCACTAAAGTACTGCCTGGGAATTGAGTACATACATCAATCAAGCTGAGAAGTCTTATCCCCAGTTAATACATAATAAAATATTAACAAAGCCAAATCAAATGAGTTTTTAGTTTAGCTATATAAGTGGAAAGCAATTTTGAGGTCTGTTGCATAAAGAATTCCAGTTCCGTGGTAGAATAGCAAATAAATGGGATTGGGGGTGGGTGACAAGAGGGGAGATAGATAAATCACCCATTATTATCTCATTGCTATCAGCTGTGGTTCTTTAAGGCCAGCATAGTGGCTTTATCAGGTTTCCTAACAGTTGGATTTTAAGGTCTGCTTTAAGAAATAAACTTGTATTCATATTAGTGAATAAATTTGAAGGATCTGTTCTGTACTGTGAGCAATTTGTAGTAACTAACAGAAAGGCCCTGTAACAGTCCAGTATTGGTTTTTACTTAATAAAATATTTAATCATAAATGTCTGAATTCTGCATCTCCCACAGGAAGGCATTTCCATGCCCACCGACAAGAATAATTTAGCAGTTTCATAGCTGAGCGCTTAATTACTCATAATTGTGAAGGGTAAGATGTGATGAATTCTTCCTCAATGGACATACTAAATATTTTAACTAAGTAGATGACTTAAAGTAAATTAAGCTAGTGAGATCATTTATTACATTGGTTAAAAGCAGTTTAAGAAGTATATCATGTCCCACATTCCATTAGATGATAGTATGTATGTGACTGTTTCTGCTGTGTGACTACAGGCTGCACTGTTGGGATGGATGGCAGATTTTTGGGGGGTGGGGGTTGGGAGGTGAGTATTAAGAAGTTGGTTAGTGGGGTTTTTTGGATTTGTTTTGTTATGTTTGGCCTGAGTCACTAATGAGGATCCTTAGCTATATGTAGAGTTTGGTTATCAAATGAAAAGGAAAACGCTTTGTGCCCTTTTGTTTGGTGTGAGAATAATTGTCCTATATCAGGACAAAGAGATTTGGCAGTAAAGGCTCTCCCTTAAACCTTGTTGGTGTTCTTCAGGGAAGATGGCCTGATTTGCAAAGTAATGTCAGAAGCAGTCAAAAAGGTAGAATGAAGAGGTAAAAAGGTACAAGCAGAAAGTATTTGTAAAATGCTCTATTAAATTTCGGAATTAGAAAGAAACGTGTGTTTGGGCGTAGAGCAAACAGGAAAGCGGGTGTTTCAGGAGTTAGCTGAGTGTGGCACAGCAGCAACAGTTGTGCCATGCTGGGAAGGGCTCGGGAGCCTCCTGCTTACCATTAGGGAAGGCTGAAACAACTTGTCTCATTAAGTTTAGCTTCTTCCCTTGAGTGTCTTATTTAGCTTTACTTCTCTTAATTCTCTTTCCCTGGTGATTTGGGTAAAGTGTCTGAAACCACTAAAGGTAAAAGGTTGAAGCAATCCCAAATTTAATAATCTGTCACCTTTCTTTAGTGTATTTGAGTGTAATTCCCAGCAGTTCTTGGTGAATTCATTAGAAGACAGCAAGTCATTAAAAGTTAATAAGAAACTCTTTGTTTCTGTGAATGTGAATAAAAACAGTTTGTAAGTCTGACATTCTTTTCGTCATAAAAGCTTTGCTTTTAGCCAGTTTCCATTTTCTCTGTCTCTCTAGGTTACTCCTGGATGGGGCACCGCTGATAGCAATCCACAAAGCCAGGTATTACAAAAGGAAAGATGGCTTAGCCCTGGGGCCTGGACCATTTGTGACGGCTTTGGAGTATGCCACAGACACCAAAGCCACAGTAGTGGGAAAACCAGAGAAAACATTCTTTTTGGAAGCACTGCGGGGCACTGGCTGTAAACCTGAGGAGGCCGTCATGATAGGAGACGTGAGTAGAAGAGCCCAGGAAATGCCCTGAGCTCACCTGTCCTGCTGTGCAGAGCCAACTTCAAAGCACAGGCAGACTCTGATACTGATGACATCAGATGGTGATAAGTAGCTGCCTCTAAAACAGGCTTCTGGTAGATGTTTAGTGGTATTCTTCTAAAGAACTGAAATTTTTATTATTTCTGACATTCTCCATAGTGTGGTGAGATATCTGTAATTCAAAATACCATTAAATGCAAGTCCATCAAATGCTTTATATGTCCTTTGTTTCCCCCTCATCCGAGGATATTTTTTCCATTTATTTTCAGACAGAATGGGAGGGAGAGAGAAACACCGATGTAAGAGAGACACATCAATTCATTGCCCCCCACATGACCCTAACCAGGCCAGGGACTGAACTGCAACCGAGGTATGTGCCCTTGACCAGAATCGAACCCGCAACTCTTTGGTCTACAGGCTGACGCTCTAACCACTGAGCCAAACCAGCCAGGGCTGTATGTCTTTTTAAAGAAACCGTTAACAGAAATTTAGATTTTTTGAATATTATTTGTGCAGGGAACAACCTATACTTAAAGAATTCTACCATTATTGACTTTTTTCTTAGTATATGCTCTATGGAAGAACTTCCCAATCAGTGTGCCACAAGTAGCTAACAGTTATTGATTGCCTCGGCCCTTTGAGTGGCAGGTGTGAACCTGGATGGTTGGAGGCCCTAGCTGGTGACCTCTGGCCATGAGCACCTTGTCAGTTTACCCCAGTGCACTGGGGGAACATTTTCTACATGTGCCATGAGGGAGAAAGCTAGAAAGCACACTGCCTTGTTGTAAGTTAGTGGAAGGGTTATATTTCAGTTTTAAGTAATAACATGCTAGGCTGGAAGGGACCATCAAAATTGTGTGGTCCTAATCTCTTTGTTTTCTGATTGGGAAACTGAAGCCTGGAGAAGTAAATCACCCTGCCTCCATTCCCACGGCTAATTAATAGCACAATTGGAAGTAGAACTTGAGTCTCCAAGACAAACTATAGATCCCTTGCTTTCTTAACTTGTGATGGTGCAAATGTATCACAGTCCTCCTTATACCCTACCCTCTTCCACTTCTGTATTTGATAGTCATTGAATATTGTTTTGAGAAACCATCTTTTTATTTTTTAATCCTAACCTGAGGATATGTTTTCATCTATTCTAGAGAGAGAGAGAGAAACATCGATCTGAGAAAGAAACATCTATGGGTTGCCTCCTGTACACTCCCCAACTAGGGATCGAACCCGCACCCAGGTATGTTCCCTGATCAGGAATTGGCCCTGCAACCTTTAGGTGTATGGGACGATGCTCCAATCAACTAAACCACCTGGCCAGGGTGAGAAACCATTTCTTCAATCACATCTCTTCTTCTTGGCAAGCCTGTATCTGACTTTCCTAGACAGGTGTGTGTTTGAAGAAGTGGTTATCTGAGCTTGGAGACTTAGGGAGGTGGGAAGGGCTAGTGAGAGCAGCAGCTTCATGCAAGGTGGTTGTTATCCCAGAGAAGGGCAGTTTTTTCCCTTCCTTTTTTGGTCCACTTTTTCCCACCTCCCTTCCTGCTTCTCTTCCTCTCCCTGATCTTCACTGCTTCAATAGGGCAAGTTTAGATGCAACCAAAAAGACTTTAAGTTAGACTTTGAATGACATTCTAAAACTCATTTTTAAGGGCTGTTGTTGAATAATATTTATTATTTTAATGGACAAAAATATTTTCTTCAGGCATGGTCTGAATGAATCCTGCTTATAGACATGAGATAGCAGGATTGATTTTCTTGATGTTTCTTCTAGTCCTTGGATTTTATTACCTTGCATTTATTGTCACAATCAACCAAGTATATTCATCCCCATATTGAGTAAGAATTGGAAAGAGGACCTTCTTTTCTAACTGATCTGTTACTGCCAAGTGTGAAGTGAATATCAGACAGTCCCAGTCTGTTTAAGCATACTGATTTGGCTTAATTGCACCTGTTGGGGACAATCGATGGAAAGTAAGGATGATATATTACATGGATAGCAAAAAAGCTATCTTCTGAATCTAGCTTATCCACTGTCTGCAGTTGGATCATTCACCTTAAAAGCTGCCAAATGGATAGAATGTGCTTTTTCCATGATCTGTTTTAAGAGGAAATTGATGTACATGTGGCAAAACTTGAAGGACTGTGACTGTGCTCTTTGTGTTTGGTTACTAGAATTACTACTCCATTGTACACCTTCTACCTCTGTGACACTTCCCTTTCCAAATGGTATGCTTCCTCAGACAAGTACATGTGAATTTACCCGTTTTTACAACTTCCAGTCTTTCATTTTAAGAAAAAACCACGGGGTTACACTGGCTATCCCAGCTTTATAAGTCAAATCAATTGGCAGGGTTTTATTGGCAAGTTAATTGAAGACCCTATACTAAATGCTTTCTTTGTGCTTTCTAGGACTGCAGGGATGATGTTGGTGGGGCTCAGAATGTCGGCATGCTGGGCATCTTGGTAAAAACTGGTATGTATCTTCTGTATAACCGTCCTCTAAAACTGGGTGGTGGAATACACAATTGCTTAAAGAAAAGATTTTGCAGAAATGGCAAAGCCCACTGGACACTTTAATTTTCTTTCTGCCACGAAGCAAAAATAAAATGGCCTTAGGATTACAGGGGGGGGGGGAAGATAACATGGGAGGGCTCGTGCTGTGCAGTACTAGGAAGATCAGAGTTTGGAGGTATTTTCATGCACGGTTGACAATTAGCATTTATATGGTTTTCTAAATATACAAGTACCACATTGGAATGGACCAATTGATTGTGGTGCTCTATAAAAATGTCTTTTTTTTTTTTTGTGCCAGCTATATGATGAAGTTGATCTTTTTAGGAACTGGCCAGCTAATGATCTGGTGCTTTGTGTGGATGTTTGCATTTTTTAAAAAACACACAAAAAACTTTTATCTTAACTTTTTACTTAATTTTTTAGGAACCATTTTCTGTACAAAGTTAGGTATACTCTGTGTGGTTCCTCAAATAAATTTAAGGAAAAGCGAAGAACTTAATGAGGAGGACTCAGCTAATACAGTATTCTGATTACCGTGGACTGGTTCAGTGTCTGGGGTCCTGGCCTCAACTTGGCACTAATTAACTGTGTGAGACTCTGGTCAAGGTCTTGTACCTCTTTGGACCCTTTAAGAATGATGGAGTTGGGAAAAAAAAGAATGATGAGGTTGGACTGGTTCCTTCTAGCTCTCACAATATATAATTTTGTGCAATTTTCTTATATGGATTGTGATTTTTAAAAGTTCTTTCAAGGTAAGAAAAGTACAGACATGAGAGCTATGTGTGGGGCAGAATACTGTTGCATTAATAACTTAATAAGCCTTTCCAGATGTAATGAAAGGTCCCCCCACCCCCAACCTGCCCCCATATTATACCTACTGAGCTTGGAACGGATAGCACAGTTTAAGGAAGAGAGCCAGAAGTTCAAGAATTGTCGTCGGGCTCTTATAAATCAAATGGCAGATAAATGGTCTCACAGATGGTTCTGTGAGCTCATTTGCCTGGTTTCAAATCATGGTCGTGGAACTATTTAATAGGCTGTTCATAAAAGGAAGATTTAAATATAAAGTCACAGAAGAGCTGCCACTTGGAAATTATTTAGAAAAGGTACATTTACCATGACTGTGATGTTTGTTCAAGAAAATGTGGTTGCATAAAAGCTATTTTGAGTTAAAAAATAGAAACAAGCCCTGGCCAGTTTGGCTCAGCGGTTGGAACGTCGGCCTGCGGTACAGAGAGACCCAGGTTCGGTTTCCGCTAAGGGCGCGTACCTCGGTTGCAGTTTGTCCCCGGCCCTGGTTGGTCGTGCGGGTGGCAGCCACTCGATGTGTCCCTTCACATCGATGTTTCTCTCTCTCTCTCTTCCTCTCTCTCCCTCCCACTCTATCTGAACAAAAAATGGAAAAATGTCCTCGGGTGAGGATAAAAAAAAAAAAAATAGAAACAAGAAAACAGAGCTGTAGCTACAATTGAAGATGAAGCATTCGGCAAGGCCCTTTGTGAACATTGCTGAAACACTGTCTACTTGTGTCTGCGGATTGGGGTGAACCACTGGAGCCTTCAGATGACACCAGTCACTCTAGAATTAGTGGTGCTTTTTCAGATTTCTCTGTCAAAATGATCACTACTTTCCCAGGAATATCACTCTTTTGATATAAGCGAGAAGAGGAAGTGTCAGAAAAAGTCAAGAAAAATTGCTACACTTATTCTCCCCTATATCTTAGTTTTTAAATTCCTGCTATTCACCATTTTATTTTCTGGTCATTAAGTAAATCCTCAGATAACTATTTTTCTTCTGTGTATTATTCCCGTGAATACTTTCTTTCTTTAGCTTACACAATTAAGGATTTATACTAAATACCAGAGCTGGTCTTATAGGCCCAGTTCCCTCCTTGGCTCTCCTTCATTTCTGACTGGCACTTGGTTCAGCCTGTCAGAGGCATCCAGGTAGTCTTAGAAGAGCCAGCAGCATAACGCTACAAAGCTAAAATGAATAACTGGAAAAGCTGCTAAATTCAACTAATGAAAACAGGCCCATTTGAACTGTTCATCTCTGGTCAGAAAAAAAACCCTAAGTAAGCCCAGTGTTCTGAAAGCACACAGGACAGCCAGCTTCACTGATAAATTTGAACTCAGTGCATTTGAACAAGTACGAGGCTTCCCTGTGTTGAAAATTATAATAAATAATTTAACTTAGTAATAAGTGCTTTTTGTGGATAGTCTTGAGCAATTTTGTTTTTTAATGAGTTGCACATTGTAGATACTCAATATACATTTGCTTGATGTTTTTAATAAAGAATTTTGACTAGTCCTAACTAGAAATTATTTCTGTTCAGCATGTAAAGCAGTCACCTAGGAAAGATGGAATTATTCTTTCTCTAATATCATCAACATGGGCTTCCTGTATCCTCCCTCCATTCATCATTTATCCACCCAGGAAAGCACAGACTGCCACAGTGAGTGAGTCAGGTGTGAGTGATGGTGGCCTGCTTCGTTCACTCAGCCACCATAATTGAGCACCAGCTGTATGCCAGATACAATGTGAGGTGCTAGAACTATCATGCATATATAAGCCACTGTTTCAATTTGTATTTGTAGAAACCCTACTTGCTTGGCCAGATTATGCAAAAGCATTCTGAAAGCCCATATCAACATGGCCAAGAAAGCTGATTTTCATATATTTGCCCTTAGACTACTGGATGCAGGGATTGGGTGATAAAGCAAGTTAGTAATTAACTTACCTATGAGACCAAGTAGAAACCTTGCAAAGGAGTTAATACTGAAAGGGATTTAAGCTTGAGAAAAAACTAGCAGTAGTTTGCTTTGTGGACCATACTATGGACAGGTGCCTTGAGGACACTCAGGTTAGGTATATATGTTCATTACTTTCTTTCGTACATTGATGCTGGCTTCTCTCCTTTAGGAATTCACAGTCAGTAAGATGAGAAGCATCTTCACCACCACAGTGCAAAGGTGTGGACCTAGGGGTTTTCAGGCTTTGTGTTTGCTGGGTGAACCCTCTTAAAGAGGTAGTTATAGAAAACAGAAGGAATTGTAGAAAATGGTGGGTCTGTTGTTGGGGGAGCTGTATTTAGGCAGAGAATACTGGAAAACGCAGAAGAATAAATAGCAGAGACCACAGAGAAGGGGGTGAGAGGGCAAGGAGAGCAAAGTACAGAGGCAGCCGGGGTGGCTACAGGGCGGTTGGCCTTCCTCAAGGCCTCGGCTAAAGCAGTTGTGCAGTTCTTCCCTTTCTTTCCTTCCGGTCTTAAAAAGAGTAAATGTGGCATGCTCACGATGTGCTGGTCATTGTGTCAGGTGCACTGTGGACTATAACAGGCCTGGTCCCTACTCTCAGAACTTAAATAGTCTCAGGTGTGAGACAGACATTTAATATATATAGTTATAATTACAAATTGCTATAAATATTGTGCACGCAAAGCACAAGGTGCTAAGAGAAACTAACAGTGAGGGGATCTAATTTGGATGAGAACCTGGGGTCTGACCTGAAGCGTGAGAGTGGTAGTCAGGTGAGAAGAACGTTCCAGGCAAAGGGGAATAGCAGGTGTAAAGGTCTTCAGAAGAGCAGGTCCAGTCTAGGACTGCAGCCTTGCGAGAGGCGCACATGCCAGTTGCAGGGTGCTGGGGCCAATGGTAAAGGGCCTGCGAGGCAACAATAGGGATTTGGGTTTTTTCTGAAGGGCATTGGGACCCATGAGGGTGTTTCAATGGGGACCATTTTTCATTTGCTCTACATTTGTAAAAGTTCGCTGTGACCACTGTACAGAATGGTTCCCCTGCTGGGTTGGGATGTTCAGTTTTATGGCTTGAATTCTGGAGTCTGGAGAGAGTTAGGCAATGTCCTGCCCTTTGGGGCCCTGCCATGCATCTGGCCTGGCCCAGGCCCATGAGCATCTACCACTCCTTCTCCCCCACCCCCTGGTGCTCTCATTTGCTAGGCCTGGGCAGCAGCCACCCTCGGGAGCTGACAAGGCCTCTGCCCTGTGGGATCTGGGCTTCCATTTAAAAGCATTGATTTATTCACCATTTTTATCTTTAGGGCTAGGGGGTGCGGGGTAGAATATGATTTCATCAGCTTTGGAGATCTGAAGGAATCCTTAGCTGTTAGGTGATCCAGTACTCTCTGATTGTCCTAGTGAAAGGCTAGAGGTAAGCCTGGGAAAATGCTGAATATGATATTTCTTTGAATTGCCTCATTACATCCTGAAGCCTCAGTAAAAGGTGCTTTGGGAGATAATGAAACCGATTCTCAAGTAATTGTAAGGGTGGTTCTGTGGTGGCCTAGGTGTCCACAGGGGACTGATCTCTGTGGCATTCTAGCAGTAGCCTTTGTTCACTGACCTTACTTCTATTTCAGGGAAATACCGAGCAGCAGATGAAGAAAAAATTAATCCACCTCCATACTTAACTTGTGAGAGTTTCCCTCAGGCTGTGGAGCACATTCTGCAGCATCTACTATGAACTATTATGTGAATCAGAAGCAACTTGAAACACAGCTTTTCATCGCCTGGAACGAATCTCTCACCAACTTGGTGCAGACACAGCCATCAGCGCTGACATGTGCAGCCCTCTTATTGTGCACTAATTAGAAAGAAAGGTATTGAATTACAGCCAGCCTCTAAGCCTGCTTATCTCTTTTGTTGTATTTTGTAAAAGAAGATGAGACTCAAAGAAAGGGAAAGCTGAGATTTTTTTGCAATTCCTTTTAAAATATTCATCAGATTAGGCAGGGCTAGGAGGGAGAAGCTACTGCAGGGAGTCGTGTTCTCTGCTGGCTCCTCACTGGTAAATTGGAGGGTGCATTCAGATTGTGAATAAAGTTGAAAGGTGCATTTGGCTGTAGTTTTAATATTCAGTTCAGCTGTGAAACCCATCAGAAGTGCCAAGTGGAGTACATGTCAGAAGAAACAAAATAAATTGTCCTTTAGCCTGAGTGATCGAGTGAATTTGCTTTAACAGATGAAAACTAGATTATCTGCTATATTATTCCCAGCACGGATGACTTCTTTTTCTCTTCATTAGCCAGAGATGACTAATTTAAATTTAGAACCTGATTTTAATTTAAAATAATATTTCCATTAATAACCTATTCATTGCAGATACCTATTATACTGTGTAACAGTTGTTTTGGAAATTTTATGTAAAATTAAAACTATCAGTATTTTACAGATGTTTTAATTAGACATTGTTATTAACAGGAACAGTGCAGAAACTAAAATCAAGCCTTTAATGTCTTACAGACCATGCATTTTTGAAGTTAGTGTCCACCAGGGTCCTATTAACTGTACATTTGCAAGATTTCATTATTTTTGCCTCTGACACTATGGGAAAAATTTTTTAGAAGCTATTGGGACAGATTCAGGCTTTTATGTACTTGGTTACTACAGCTGTAAAATGAAATCTCGTCTGGTTGCATGGATTATTCTTCTCATGTTAAACCCACCAAAATGAAGGGGACTAAGTAGGTAATGATTTTCCTAGTGCATTTGCATACTGTGATAATCCTGGGCCTTTGCAATTGTTTTACAGGACTCTTGGGCCTTGAATTATTAGCATGTAATTGTACATCATTGTAGTGTTCACCTTATTGAAGCACACACTGATGCTAATGAGTTTCGGGTTTTGATGCTTGTTTAGAGATCAGCTTGGTCTTAGGTGGAAGGGAACAAACCCAAACAAATCATAGCTCTTCTCCTCTCCTTTTGGTAGTTTGGTGAGCACTCTTCCTATTTTTGCAGATGCCCCAACTTGGCACTTAAACATCCTAGAGAAAGATGTTAAAGGACCACCACCCCAGATCCAAAGATGAGTGGAGTGGCAGAGAGCATAGATTTGGGAGCCTAACCAGGATGTCACCAGCCCTGTGATCTTGGGCAAGTCACCTAGCCTGTCATGCCTCCTTTCCCTTATCTGTAAAATGGAGATAATGATCAACTGTGTCCACCACATAGACTTGTTGTGAGGGTTAAATGTGGTACATATATTAAGTACTTAGACTCAGGCAAATACTAGGTACTGGTGGTGGTGATGGAGATATAGTAGGAGTGTCCATGTTTAACAATCTGGAAAGAGTTGGTAGAATTAATCTCTGTAGTTCCTTCAGTGGGGAAAGTCTTCCTGAGAGTTTAAAAAAAAAAAAAAGACATTCTTCTCCATTAAAACTCCCTCAGAACACAGCTGCACAGAGAGAGGCTCAGCATGCAGGTAGAATGCTGCTTGGTGCCTGGTGGATGGGCTACATTCAACTTCGGTCTGTTATCTGGGCACCTGGGTCAGTAATTCTGTTTGCTAGTTGCTCTGTGCTTCGTGTCAGGCTAGGAAATAAGCATGTAAGGAGAGGAGTTAGCCTTAAGTACCCTTACTAGTTGAGGAGCTGAGGAGAACCCACGGACATTATAAATACTCCATGTGTTCCTCTGCGATGTCATACTGACTGCAGGATGGAGTGAGATGTTTCCTTCTTTAAGCCACGTAGCACTTACTAGATTACACTTAGGTCTTCACACGTGTCTTGTTCCCACCAGACAGGACTGTATCTCATTTTTTTTAAATGTCTGCTACAACACAGATAGGCACTCAGATGGTTACTGAACCAATAAAAAACCAGCTGTAAATATTACAGGAATTTAATATTAGAAGGTATAGCTGTGGGGATGGAGGAGAAAATAAGATTCGTTTTATGCTTGTTGCCATAGGGGAAGCCCCCTTAGACACTTGGAAATAATGGATCTGATGCTCTGGAGACAGGTTAGAGCTAAAGCAAAGAAGTAGGCATCACTGGTGGTCAGGAATTAAATAGTGACAAGAATGGGTGAGATCACTTGAGCATAACGTATCCAGCCCTGAGAAATGGCTTCTCTACTTTCCTTCATTCTGGCTTGGCCCTGTGAGCCATTAACATCTCAGTTTGATATTTTATTGATTTAACAAACATTATATAGGGTTCGCTAACCACCTGTCCACAGTAAGGTTCATGAGGATAAATAAAAGTCTTGGTTTAGCTCCAGGTTAGTATAAATTTTCCCAGCTCAGCTGGTTGGTCTGCCTTGGGCCTCGTGAGGAGTTTTAAAAACCGAAGTATCTAAAAGACTTCATTTTCTAGCCCTCTCATTTAAAGGGCTGTCTTGTGGTACTTACCTTAAGGACATTATTTTCATCAGGTTTACTGTAATTCTCTCCTGGGCCCAGAAAAGGGACATTTTAGGACTAGAAAGGGTATTGGAGAACACCCACCGTCAGAAGATGGTTTGAATAACGACCATGAGCCTGTGCTTACCTGGTGTGGAGGAGGACGAAGCCCAGTCCAGTGGAGGAGACACATGGTTGGTTGTTGCACCTTTCACTCACACCTCCAGAATCAGTTTTGCATTAGCTCTACCTACTTACCATTCTACATCTGTCAGAGCTGACTGTAATGTCTAGGAAAGGAAAGGGAGCTCACCCAAGTGACAGTTCCATCAAATACCTGTAGCTGTGGATGCCAGAAATTCCCTTGGTACCTCACCCTTAATTTCACATTTAAGTATTACAGTAGCGTGTTAGACAGGTAAGTCAAAAACATGGGTTTTGTTCATTTTGTTTTGGATCATTCATTCCTGTAATACGAAACTGAAGTCTTTGTGTACCTATAAATGAAGGATTTTTAAAACTCCACTAATCTCTTTCACTAAAACACTCCCTCAGGCAGTAGAGTCCCTTTTTCATATGCAGTTGTTTGCGTAGAGCCATGTTTGCACTATCAGGTTCCTTTGACATAAGTCACAAAAGTCTTTTTTAGCATAAATGCACAAGGCCTCTGCTGACTTAGTATTATGCCAGTCATCAAGGCCTACTACCCCTGAGCATGCTACTCTTCGAGAGGCAACCAGAGCAAGGTGCCCAAGCACCAGAAATTGTCATTATTTAAACTGCGTATCTGTTAAAATCAAACAGTTTTGAATACCTTACTTTCAGAGCTTACCTTTTGTCATACATATCTCAACACCTGTTTGTTTCACTGGCTGATATGCGGGAGAAGATCAAACCATTCATGAAGTGCCCACTGTGGGTAAAGCGCTAAGGAAGAGAGCAGAATATAGCCCTAACTCCTTAGATGCACATCTTCTAGTTGGGAAATTGATGCATATAAAAATAAATCTCAGAGTCCAAAGGGCACTGACAAGTTTAAGGCAGTGGTACAGTCCTGTCAGAGGAGAGGTCATGTGCTTTGGCCTGTGCCATTTTAAAGAATGTTTCACTCATTCAGTGGCAGTGAGAAGAGTATCACAACCATGGCGGTAACATTTGAGTAGGGTATAGAGATGAAACATATACCAAACTCGATACAACAGAGGTACTGGTAAGTGATGAAGATGAACACAGCCAACAAGAGTGAGAGGGTTATCTTAGCTGAGTATGGTCCATCCAGGAAGGCTTCTCACGGTGACCTGAGTGAAGTGTGGGAACAAGCCGGAACTGTAGAGCGGATAGTTAACCTTGTTGCAAACATCTACTAGGTATTTCAAGTGCAGGTCAGTTACTGCTTTCCCTAGGAAGACTGGAAGATCTGGCAATGTTAGGTCCGAACTTCTACATTCACTTGGAGGTGAGTCACAGTGGTCATTCAGATAGTTTTGGCCCTCTCCATTTCCCCATAGTCTCCAACTCTTCCTTGTCTTGCATGCTGCTTACTTGACAACGTGTTACTACATCCCAGGTTCCTAAAAGAATTTGAGTTGTGACTTCTGCTTTAGAAGAAAATACATGTTGGATTAGGTTAAATTTACCTCCAACAACTAATAGGCCAATCTCCTATATCCCTATAACTTAAGATATGCTTTTAATCTACTTAAAAAATAACAGACTCTAAACATAGTGGATTAATCATATATGTTAGTTGGTCTCTCTCAAAGCCCCACTAGAATTAGAGGAAAGGAAGAAAGAAAGTATAAATCCCTGAGGGCAACCCACGAGAGAATGGTAGAAGAGAGCGTCAGTGGATGAGAGGGTACAATGATTTGGAAGATGGTAAGTGGATGGAATGCTGATAATTAAAATCAGCTCAAAGAAAACCAAAATTCGTCCTGAAGAACCACCTCGAAGACTGAAGTCTGGGAGATAACTAGGTAAAGAGGAAGTGAGGTGTGAGGCAGGGCTGAAAAGCAAGGAATTAGTTCAAAGCTGGCAAACAGAATGGTTGGAGCCCCAGACCCTGCCCACCCTGAGCAGCCAGATGAGCACCCCCAGCCTGGGCAGGAGAATGGAGGTTTATCTTCCGGAAAAGTGAAGCCCTGAAAGTTACGGCCTTGGGGACAGTGGGCATGGCAATGGGCCACAGTGAGATCATGCAGGGCTGACAATAGGAATTGGGTACATGTCTGCTGCTATAGTGATCCTCGGTTCCCTTCCCCTTACAACACCAGGACCAGAGGGCATGGGGGTGGAATTGAAAATGTATCTGGTATGTGGCCATTTGGAAATAATGCTGATGGGTATCTGACAGATCTGAGAATGTGTTGCAAAAAACAAAACTAAGCAAATGAAAATAAGTTATTAGTTCCAGGAAAGACAAAAGTCATCAAAAAAGAAAATGTAATCCTAATTCACTAGTTGGCTCTGCAGTGAACAATGTACAGAAATAATACCGATTTTTGAGTTAACCTAAAATCATAACTATTTGGGAGGAGAAGGAAAGACATGTTTGTGTGGTAGGGGCAGGGCAGAGGAATAAAAGAGCTACATTTCATTTCATTAAAAGCAAGAAGTCATTTTAATGTATAAAACTGATTTTTTTTAAAGCCACCAAAATAAAAGCATGACCTAAAAACATACATGCACAATTATTTGTAGACAGACTTTGCAAGAGAAAAAGGGGAGAAGGATTGAATATGTGATTGAATGAGGATGGAATTATACAAAGATGAACTTGGAGATTTTTTTTTTCTTTATTGAACTTAGAGAGAGAGGAAGGGAGAGGGGGAGAGAGAGAGGGAAACATTGATGAGAGAGAACACCAATTGACCACCTCCTGCATGCCCCACACTGGGTATCAGGCCCATAACCTGGACATGTGCCCTGACTGGGAACGGAACCAGCGACCTCTTGGTA